TGAAGTTCTGAACACAACAGTATTATGTTCAGAGAGCGAGCCCTGCAGCCTCGGTGATTTTAAAGAGGAATCTTACTTAACGGGATAGTTTCTTAGATGTAGCCTATCTGTGGTCTATAATTGAATTCTCCTAAGTGTTTTCACGTCCTAGATGAAAGTGTGAAATTTACAAGAAGAAAAATCGGAAATTCCCTGAAATTAATGTCATAAAACATTTGCAAATCACTCTGTTTTCTGAATATGCCCAATCCAAGGCAGTCTCTAAGGTACATGATAGTGATTGTGGGCTAAACTCAGGAGTATTTCCTCACTGCTAAATCCGATTGCAAAGTTTAATATAACTTTCCAGTGCATGCTGATGTTGCAGCCTTGCAAAGCAAAGTTTCTCTCAAAGGTGTGACTATAATGTCAGAGAATATTCAAGTTTTTTTCTTGTAGGCTAGATTAAATTAATTTTCTCAGGGATTATTAGGACTCCCCCCGCTGGCTCTTTTTTTCTATTACAATGGACCTGCAGTTGTACCTTTACATCATATTACACATAAAAGAAGAGCCCATAAAATACATAATAGAGATTTGAACTACAATAAGAACACTGGGAAGATAATTAGGCTACAAATTTAGTCCAACAAGCCTCCCTGGCTTTGTCGACCGCTACGATATTAGATTTAGGGTGATTCTCCCGACTTCCGAAGTTGGGATTCCGACTTAAGGGGGCGTTCCCTTTGAAATTTTGACCTTTGAATTCGGAAATTCCCGACTTCCCATGTCAAAGGGAACGCACCATTAACTCTGAGTAGGTTTAACTCCCTTCGTAGTACAGGCCACTGGTTTGTAGCTGACGTTTTCATCTTGATCATGGGGGTGGTGGCTAAAGCTGGCCTGCTTTGGCTTTTACTTAAGAGAAAATCACTGTTGGCCTCAAAGGTAGGTACAGTGCTCCCAATCCACTCTGAGGTGTTTTATTTAATGTTATTCAACAGTTAGTGTCATCTGTGGGCCCTAGTCAGACCAACATTTTTCATAGTAAAACCATGACCACAAAATGGTTTTCAGTCCGTTTTCTACGGAAACCCTAAGCAGCCATTCAAATTTTTTTTTACTCTGTTTTCCTGTGATAACAGGATATTTTTGACCATAGCTCGACACAGGGGTCCGCAGGTGTGTTTCTTTAGGATAATTTTGGAACAAGTGTTGCTGGTTAGTTCAGTTGGTAGAGCACAGGACTCATAATCAAGGGATTGGGTGTTGTGTAATGTTAAATTGATACCCCTGAATGAGAAGCGGAGGAATTTCCTCTGCCTGGGAATGATGGAGAAATGAAAAGTCCACATGTTGATGGAGTTGGACCAATTGCCGGGACGCACACAGTTCAGCACATGCTTTATTGTGAGCACGTGACACGGTCTCTTCATAAGAATTTTGTTGAAGAGGATTATAAAAAAAGATAAAAAATAAGAAACAAATTGGTCGTAAGTGGGGATCAAACCTTTAACTGTGAGTCCTTTACGCTACCAACTGAGATAACCAGTGACACTGACAACACCTTTGAAATTATCATTAAGAAATACTCCTGCCGACTCTGTCTTAACTTCTGTTGTGTTATCTCGAGATAAATATCGTTATCGCGGAAAACAACATTCGTGATCTCGAAATAATTTTCCCTTTATCACGGGAAAACGGAAAATGTATCTCTTAAATAAACTGTTTAACTTTGTTGTTAGCAAGCTACCTGGCATAGTGGGCTTTCATGGCTGACTAGCGCTAGCTTGTTCATGTGGTTAGCTCCCTAGCTTTACCAAGTAGCCCTGGAAGTAATCAATGTGACACCAAGCATCGAGCACCTTCTGTTTTTTGAAGAGGTGCAGATGAATTTCACGGTGTCACCTGCTGGTCTAACCGGGCACTAGCTCATAGTAAGATACCTGAAAAGTTTGTTTTGTGTTTCTTTGTTATGTCATCCCTTGTTTGCTGAAGAAGTTTCTAATATCACCCACTAGGCCATGACATTTACATCAAAAGCCCCATACATATAGGATTTATGTCTTTTTGGTGATTTGGGGTGATTTATCACTCCCACATCAGTAATAACTGAAAAATTACAGCCACAATTACCTACTGGCGCTGAGTTCGCTGGTCCTCCTGAAAATTCAAACTCGTGCTTATATTTATAAAGTTGACCTCGGCTTTTTCCCCCCGAGTAATTAGCTGATTGAGCTTGCCTATTTGGGAACCAATTTGATGACAGAAAACATTAAAGCTCATCAAATGTACTCTTTTGGCAAACGCAGATACGCAGTATCTTCTACCTCACGTCTTTCCCTCCTCCTTCAACTCTTCCGCAGACCCAAATTTTTGATCTTAGAGGCACAACATTGTAAAACAGCCTAAAAGATGACCCTATGCCAGCAAATTCAGAGTATTATTTTATAGATTTGCTTTAAAGCATTTATGTACATGTTCTAATCTTGTCTTGTTTATTGATATATTTTCTGTGATTACAAGAGGTATATATTCTTCATATTCATTTCAGTGTGACACTAATATGGATGAACAGCCATGTTTCTGAAAATAAGGGCACATTTATTTAGTATCTAACAATTTATAAGATTTCAGTTTCCTGAATGTTTAACTTATTCTGCATTTTGTAAAGGTAACTGTCTTATATCATTTTTAATGATTGGCATTATCAAATGCTTACTTTGAACAATGCATAGATGAAACGAGGATTATGTTGAACTTTTAGAGCACTGTACTAGGTAGGGCAGCAATCGCTGTATAAAACCTCTTAGTTATGAGTTGCATCCTTTTATTTACAGTCTACATCCCCTCTACTTTGTTTGCCCCTCTTTATCTCAGAATTGTTTCAGTGAGGAAGGTAACTGTTCATTTCCATCCAATTCTGTCTTTTTAAAAATGAAACTGAAGTATAAACGTTGATCAGCAAATGATAAATTATGCAAGAGAGTCCTGCCTTTTGCAAAAAATAACAGCTACTCGCTATGATACGACAAAATTTAATTATTTTAAAGACAAAATAAAATCCAAACCATTTATGAAAAAAATGTTTTACTTTCAAAGACTTTAACCTCCATTCCTTGTTACAGCAGATACATCAACAACAATTTGCACACACAAATCAGACATTTTGGCTTTTGATAGAAGGGCATGTTCAATATGCTTGTCCATATCATATGGCACTGATGCCAACAGCAAATATTGTTCAGTACCAATAGTGTTGCTTTTAAAGCCAAAGACAGCGCATAACAATTGATTTACAATTGAACCTTGTCAGAAACAACATGTGTTCAAGGCAACACAATCACATTATGCTTTCAAGCTTAGAGGAACCAGTGATATAACCACAGTTTACATGTGCTGCTATGAAGGCCAGTCACTGAGTTTAAAAGTAAAATCCACCCTCACATACTCTAACACCGTTGATCTGAGTCTACTGTACATTTTAATCGGTATTAATATTTAGGTGAACTCACTGTCTCTCCGTCTGGATCTCATCATCTCCCCAGATGACTGCCGTAACTGTGAATTTTAAAGTTATAATCATAAGAAAAGAAAGAGCTTGATAATGTAAGAACTCATGATTGTGGCGCCCTTTGCATACTGGCCTGTTTTTGGCTAACAAGGATGTTATAATTGGTCTCTCTGCCCTGCCTCTCCACTGATGAGTTTTCATTGCTCTTTGATTTTGGAATCGACACAAAGGCCTGTGATGATAACTGTAAATGTTTTAAATCATCAAATCGTGTTTTGCTATTAAAATCTATTGTAGTTGCTGGGATTATATTAATGTGGTCAGCTTCTCCTGGTCCAAAAGTTTTTAAAAAAGCCACCAAACAACTAAATTGATCCAGAAAAGAGGTTTTTTAAACAATGTTGAGATGCTTCAAGGTGGAGTTTCCTTTTACAATACACTGATGTGGTAGTGGGACATTCAGAAATAGATTAAATGCAACATTACTGTCTCCCTAGCAATACAAATATTATGGCAAACTGCTTGCAGTGGTAGGCTGTTCCAATAATTTTTTGGGTGCGACAGCAAGGGTAACGAGTAGGGGTATATAAGACATGACACAACAGTATTAAAATCTGTCCTAAAAAATGTTGGCTTATCCCTTGTTAACCTTCCATATTGTCCCAGGAGTTCAGTCAGTGTAAGCCAGATTACCTTCACAGAACCGTCTGGAATACAGTAAGTATATGATATGTGAACACAGGATAGGCATACTAGGGCTCAGTCATTCAGTGCACATTCAATATGAAAACATACATTTTACAAACTTTACAGTCTGTCACATTCCTCTGCTAAAGCAGAAGATTGGGGCAGAAAGTTGAGGCATCTACATATCAGCATGATTTGTGACATAACTGGTAGCCGATTATGCTCCAGTATGAAAATGACACAGGGGCACAGTGGGGAAAGAGAAACCTGACTGAAAAAAAACGTTCAAAAAACGTTCATGTGGTTAAACTTTTGAAATTTAACCACAGATTCAGCTTCCTTCTACACACTGAGGAACCGTATGGACAGAACTGGGATGTATCTGTGTAAGTTTTGCTAAAAAGCTGAATGTAGAGCCTTTTTCCATGCCAACTGCTTATCCTGGCACACAAGAGTGCATATTCAAGTATTTATTTGATTAAAAACACTCCCAAAGTAAAGCTTTCTCCATGAAACACTTTTCCTTGGTAGTTTTTGATAGCATTAGAACTCATTGCTAATAGCTGGTATTAGCTAGCTGACAAAATTAGCCATTGCGTGTTGTTGGTTGAAGTATAATAATTCCTTAATAATCATTTCTGAATGTTCACATACCCAGCTGTTTTAGACTAAGCCGGGCTTCTGTTCTGATCATGATCATGATAAATCTGCGCCAGTCAAAATGTATGAGAGTTTGGCCAGTTCAGTAAATCGTCTACATGATGGTTGCAGGTGCAAAATCCAACATGCTTTCCAAATACTGTCTCGACATAAAAACATGATTTGAGGCATTTTTTATATCTGCATACTCAATGAGTCTGTAATTCTTAATGAAGGGGAGAAGGGCATCTTTTAGCCTTCTTCAGTACTTACTTATATATAGAACTCAGAGTATTTTTAAACATGACTTACAATGGGATATTTAAAAGAGTTCAGAATAAAAACTGGAACAATCAGACCATGTTATGAAAAACAGCAGCTCTGCACATGGCAGGAGTCTGGTTCTCCACCAGACCTTCGATACTTATTGGCCGTAAGCAGAGAAAGTAGATTGATCGTTCCGCTGTGGAAAGTCTGGGTTTTAGCCTCTCTGTGGATGCTGTAGTGTCACTGAGGAAGACCCTGATTTACCACAGATTCCAGAGACACTTGAATCTCACTTTCATTCATGCGAGAGCCGGGGGGAACCAACAAGGTAAACATAGTCATTTGTATTCCTATTAACTTCTACTTGTTAGACTTCCTCGAGTACGACATGTTGCGGCCTTTGGTAAAAGTCCAGTGGGTTCAATTGTGCAAAGCCAGATCAGTCGGTCACAAAATGAACAACTGAACTCCCAAGTTCTCGGCAAATGTCAAAAAAAAATGGCATATTGTGAGAGGGGCTGAAAGTCTGTGCGCCCTCTAGAAAGGCCAGTGTAAGTCCTCAAAGTCCCCCGATTGACCCATGTTTACATCCGTCTCCAGCAAGCTCATGATGACCGCCATGGCTGCCTCATCGTTGCTGAAGCTGCTCAAGCCTGGCATGTCCAAGTCCAGCTGAGATGGCTCACCTGAGAAAAAGAAAAAAAAAAAAGACAACAGATAACAAGAATTTAAGGACACTTTTTTAAAAACTCTGATGTTGTGCCCTCTACTATGTGGTGATTAATTGTTTAAGATCATTTTCCCCTCATACTAACTTGTTTACTTCTTCTTCAGTTGCTACAAAAAAGGTCCACCTGCATAACTCATGTCTGGGGAGCCCAGGTTTCTGAGAATATGGTTCAAGTGCAATTTTCTGCCACACAATTAGAAAAGCGGCTTTACTTTCATGGTAAATTTAAGTTGTTTTCACTGAAGATGAGAAGGTAATAGTAACGTAACTTCTGTGAAAAATTTTGCTAATTGGGAAATAAAATCCTATCTGCAAGAACGCCACACATAAAGAGGAATGTCTAAGTCCTACTGGGCAAATATAACTTTCTCCGCAATTTTCCATTAGCAAGGTTTGAAGAAAGTACAGGAGGATTCCACTGAATGCTAAATTATACATTAGCCGGCTGCCATTACAAACAAGCTTGTTGTATAGGTTGATATTGTTTTTGTCACCAAACTTACAGTACCGTCATCGACAGCAGAAAGTAGTTGAAAAATATTGAATTTCGCCAAATCTTCTGTAACTACAGAAGAGAGAGACCATCTGCTTCATGTTTACACTGGTACGCACATGCCCAGTGTGCGTGAACGGCCACGTGCGTTTTCAGTGGAGTTTCAATGGAGAGAGTTTAATGTAGATGGAGATCAACTCTGATATGCAGCTAAAACGCTGCCGTGGACGGAGATCGTATTTGTTTTAAAACTCAGCTTTTAAACAAAAACGGAGTAGTGTGGATGGGGCCTCTGAAGGTCTGACCCTCTGCAAAATTAAAAAACAAGTGGTCCGACATAAAAGTAGAAGCTAAAAGGTACATAGTCTTAGAGAGAGAGTGTTTGTGCCCCAAAGGAAAGGGGACACCGGAACTCGACCCCTTGATGAGTGGATGTGGACACAGATATTCAAGATGCACCGGATGACCCAGGCACATCATTTGTAGTCCCTAGTTTAAGAGTTAACAAAATCCATTCAAGTTGTGTTAACACTTTTATTTACACAAACAAATGAGACATTTTTTACTGTTTTTAGTGCCTGCGTGTTCCATCAGGGTCTGTGGTGCTGCACTGCACCTCCTACATGTCAACCCTTCAGCAGCCGTGTTGATGAAGTCTCCACACACAAAGTGGCCATCAACTCAATTAATAAGGTTGCCACAGAATTAAAAGAAGACTTCTTTTATGTGACATAAGCTGTACACTGAAAGATCTACTTAATAAATAGTGTATCCCATCCAGACAGTGTTGCACAACGTTTGACTCAAATGGCTGTAGATAGAGCAACGAATGCGATAACATATGAAAACTACGCACTCGTAGTTGCTCCATTGAGGCATCAAAAATGGCATCAGTTTAAACGATTTCTGATAAAATATATCTCCGTTTGTACTCATTATTCTAAATCGTGTTTTTGCACTCCAGTGAGTATCAAACAGGTGTTAGTTAATTCATTTTTAGAATGGCTTTTATTTGGTTCCATCTGTCTTGCAAATTAACTCATCGTAATTTAATACATTAAAGGTAATATTTTGATTTATTTTAAACAAAGGTACCAATTTCAAACCACTTCGAGTTTCATTTCTGTCGTTTAAGTTGCAGTTTCTCATTTCTCCAGTTTATGCATGTACACATGGGTCAAAGTTTCCATGGAGAACCACACATTCTCCCGTCAACTTTGTTTCTTATAAATCCTAAAGTTTGCTTAGAAAGGGGCATATGTCTTTTTTGTGCCAACATGACATTTATAAATGAGGCCCCAGATGATTGCCCCTTTAAAATCGTGGGTTTGTCAACAATATGAAGACTGCTGGAGTTTTTTGCCAATATGACGGCTTTGTGAGACCGTTGCAGCCAATTTCTTTGTTTGGAGTGATGTAGGTAAAAACTGTTAATACCTTGCATTGGATTTATGATTGTCCTGGCCAAAGTACCTGTACTTTCAGAGGTTGCACTGCTTGCCCCTGCTGCTGTCGCTGAGTCAGATTGGGACTGTGATGAACTGCCTGCTGCCTCCTCTCTGCTGGATTCCTGGAACAAGTCCTGTTAACGTTAAAACACTGCAAAGGGCCTCATGTGTCATCTTTCTCCACTGAAATGGGTAATTAAAGTCGAGAAAATGTGAATTAAACCTCCTTATGCCACTAAAATTGACAGTAAAACAAGAAAAGAACACCAAACGTGCCTCTGAAGTGTAGTGAGGCAGAATTCTAAAATATAATTCAATTAGATGTAAAAAGTAAAAATGTTTGTACTCAGTTATTTTATACCTTGATCAGAAGCTCAACAAGCAGTCGCCACGCACACTGATTATGCCTTGACTTCATGAATGCAAACAAATTTATGTAATTTGCCTCCATGTAAATGTGCTGTACTGATGAAGAGGTCACTCACACTCCTGCTGGTTTGTGGGGAAACAAGCGGACATTTCTCCTGGGCAGGGCCAAACGGACTGGAAGCTCCGCTTGATGGAGAGGAGTTCATTCTGCTGAAAAACAGGTTGGAACACAGCAGGAGATAAAATGATTTTTGACAAATTTATTATAAATATTCTTCCAGGCTTATTATAAATGTTTATATACATAGAATGTATACCTTATTATATCATATTCCTGTTTGATGTACCCTATCCCTGCATGCCAATGCATTAAACGTTTAACCCATTTCTCCACATTTCTCCATCTAATACAAATAGTGAAGAAATACAGCTATTTGTATTTAGTTTAACCATTTTGTACATATACACATAATTCACCTGTAGGAGTCGATGAGCTCATTTGCGATTTGGGTCCCTATACTGCCTGCGTATATCATTGTGCCAACACCACTGGAAAGGCCGGGAATTATGGGTAGCTGCTTTGTGTGTTCTGTGGAAGAAGAAAAGTCAACCTTTAAATTAACAACAATTGCACACATGAGATCAGTGCATATACTGTATGAATACAGAGTGTATATTATACCCTTAAGTGCTTTTGACCCGCCTGCATCCTCATCTTTTGTGTGACCAGGCCCCCTGTTGGTGAAAAGGAGTATTTATGCTGCCATATTCACGCACAATCCAAGTCTTTTGGTCAGAAGCACAATGAGTATGAAAGGCAAAAACAAAGGTTTTGGACAATCTGTATGAAGTAGGTTGTATGAGGATTGTATTGTTTTGGCAGCTGTAAAACGTGTAAAAAAAAAAAAACCTAAATAGACGAGTGTAATGTCATGGTATCGGAGTCGTTGAGATACAGGTAACACTTCATAAATGAATCCATACTTACGAGATAACTCTGTTTAAAGACACGATAAACTCAACTTCTTTGGTCCAAGGATTTGTGAAACCAAACCATTGACTTTGGAGTGAAACATAGGAGCCATATTTTGTTTTGAACTTGTAGCAAGGCGTCTCAATCTTTTCTTTGCTTCGAAGAGCTGCCAAGAGATTGGGCACAAGTGTCATCATAGAGGACAGAAGAAAATTACTCAAAAATGTTGCTACAAGCCCTCTGGCCACTACTTTCAAAATACATGTGAGGGGCTGCCTTTCATTTCTAAACAACAAAACATTTTCTAAGCATAGTTGCTGCAATTTTTAAACACGGGCATCTTGTGCTTCGGTGCAGTAATCTCATCACCTTGCCTGTGTTTCTCTGCGAGGTGCGGCAGGTCGTCCTGGTGGAAGTACTCATAACACGATGTGCCGAGAATTTCCTGCGGCAAATAACCGGTAACTGTCGTGGCTCTGGGAGAAAGAGGGGATAAAGTGGGAGTATAGTTATTCTGGTTTTCTCTTTCGCTGTCTCCCAGGATTGTGCAGGTTAAAAAACAGTGTTAAGCGAAAATGGAATGAAAGTGATTACTGTTTAAATTAGCCTCTCCAGGTGTAACAGTCAGCAGTCACTCATATGGGAATTTGATTAAATGAATCAATTTACTTGTTGGTATGAAATTACTTCCCAAAAAAATGAGAAGAGATTTTCATGTGATGTCATCAAGAGGCATAGCTCCTTCTGAGAAACAACGGCAAAGAAAGAAAGGATTATCTCCACTGATAGTTGAAGTTACAGAACTTGTGCTGTAGGCTCAAAGGCCTCCTGACCACAACGCACCTCTGCCACTTCTTTCTCAGTGTAGCCGTGTGTTCAGAACTAATCCATGACAAGAGGAAGATAAATGGTAACTTGTGCAGATGGATGTAGTTAAAATCAGGAATCTCACCGGTGGTCTACAAAAGTGAACTTGCCATCGATGGCACAGCGGGTGACAAACTCAGTGGGCTTGACATTGATGTCTTTGGAAGGCTGGTGCGACGCGTGAGGGAGGAGGCGGCACACCATTACCAGGCAGGTCAGGTTTGAGGTTTCCTTCTCAGCGTCACCTTCTGCGTCCACCTGGCTGCTCGGCCAAGCCCGCATGTGTCCGGTGCAGTGGAGGGTACAGTATCTGTAAGTGTCTGTGGGCACAAAAACAAATAGTTTTTAGTCAGTCAGTAGTCTACTATACCTGCTTATCCGTGCATGGGGCTGGAGCCATTCCCAGCTGGCATAAGGCAAGTGGCAAGGTATACCCTGGACCGGTCGCCAGTCCATTGCAGGGCACAAGCAGTTTTTAGAATTTGTAAATAAAATTTTACTTGAAAAGCTTTGATTATTGCCTGTAAAGTTTCAGATTTTGCTGCCTACGGTATAACAAAAGGGCACACTAACATGATTTCGAAGTTCTTTCTATACATGCGTTTATGATCAACTGATGTATAATGAAGACACTGTTCGACATCACATGATGTGAAAAACATGTGATTGTTTGATCAAACTCCTGGGAAAGAATGAAAGGACAGAATTGCAGGTCGGGGATAAGTGGTGTCGCAGCCCTCCTCCCTCATTGAGAGATGGTCTCTCTACTTTGGTGTATATTGTGATGCCCTGATGCCCTCATAAGTGGGTCTGGCCTCCCCCCCCTTGTAGAGGAAGAGCTGATTGCAGTAACTCTGGGCACCTGGGCTAATTGCCCTGTAGAGTATTTAACATTTTATTCTCATTCTTAGGGAGAGGTCGCTGCTGGGCTGAGGACGGGTGGACCTCTCTGCTAACTTGCCATCATCTGTTTCACTCCACAGGTTCCACCTTTGCCTTGGTTTTTGGATACAGTGAGGAAAATAAGTATTTGAACACCCTGCTATTTTGCAAGTTCTCCCACTTAGAAATCATGGAGGGGTCTGAAATTGTCATCGTAGGTGCATGTCCACTGTGAGAGACATAATCTAAAAAAAAATCCAGAAATCACAATGTATGATTTTTTTAACTATTTATTTGTATGATACAGCTGCAAATAAGTATTTGAACACCTGTCTATCAGCTAGAATTCTGACTCTCAAAGACCTGTTAGTCTGCCTTCAAAATGTCCACCTCCACTCCATTTATTATCCTAAATTAGATGCACCTGTTTGAGGTCGTTAGCTGCATAAAGTCACCTGTCCACCCCATACAATCAGTAAGAATCCAACTACTAACATGGCCAAGACCAAAGAGCTGTCCAAAGACACTAGAGACAAAATTGTACACCTCCACAAGGCTGGAAAGGGCTACGGGGAAATTGCCAAGCAGCTTGGTGAAAAAAGGTCCACTGTTGGAGCAATCATTAAAAATGGAAGAAGCTAAACATGACTGTCAATCTCCCTCGGACTGGGGCTCCATGCAAGATCTCACCTTGTGGGGTCTCAATGATCCTAAGAAAGGTGAGAAATCAGCCCAGGACTACACGGGAGGAGCTGGTCAATGACCTGAAAAGAGCTGGGACCACCGTTTCCAAGGTTACTGTTGGTAATACACTAAGACGTCATGGTTTGAAATCACGCATGGCACAGAAGGTTCCCCTGCTTAAACCAGCACATGTCAAGGCCTGTCTTCAGTTTGCCAAAGACCATTTGGATGATCCAGAGGAGTCATGGGAGAAAGTCATGTGGTTAGATGAGACCAAAATAAAACTTTTTGGTCATAATTCCACTAACCGTGTTTGGAGGAAGAAGAATGATGAGTACCATCCCAAGAACAGCATCCCTACTGTGAAGCATGGGGGTGGTAGCATCATGCTTTGGGGGTGTTTTCCTGCACATGGGACAGGGCGACTGCACTGTATTAAGGAGAGGATGACCGGGGCCATGTATTGCGAGATTTTGGGGAACAACCTCCTTCCCTCAGTTAGAGCATTGAAGATGGGTCGAGGCCGGGTCTTCCAACATGACAATGACCCGAAGCTCACAGCCAGGATAACCAAGGAGTGGCTCTGTAAGAAGCATATCAAGGTTCTGGCGTGGCCTAGCCAGTCTCCAGACCTAAACCCAATAGAGAATCTTTGGAGGGAGCTCAAACTCCGTGTTTCTCAGCGACAGCCCAGAAACCTGACTGATCTAGAGAAGATCTGTGTGGAGGAGTGGGCCAAAATCCCTCCTGCAGTGTGTGCAAACCTGGTGAAAAACTACAGGAAACGTTTGACCTCTGTAATTGCAAACAAAGGCTACTGTACCAAATATTAACATTGATTTTCTCAGGTGTTCAAATACTTATTTGCAGCTGTATCATACAAATAAATAGTTAAAAAATCATACATTGTGATTTCTGGATTTTTTTTTTTTTTTAGATTATGTCTCTCACAGTGGACATGCACCTACGATGACAATTTCAGACCCCTCCATGATTTCTAAGTGGGAGAACTTGCAAAATAGCAGGGTGTTCAAATACTTATTTTCCTCACTGTATGTTCTTTTAGTTGATAGTTATTATTTCTTGCACATTACAACACCCTCACACACATTTTCCATGCATCTATCATCCTGACCTGACTGAAACCACTGATGTTCATACCCCATATTTGTTCACTATTACTTTGGCACCAGACTTAATTTGGTTAATTTTGGTTTAATAAACATTTTGTTAAACTTTTACTATGGTGTGTCTCCCTTTTGTTGTGGCCTTTTGAGCCAGGTCATAACAATATGGCTTCCTATATTCTTTTAAAAAAATGGTGCTCATATACACAGAGCAGGTATTTCATTGCATTTGCCCCTAAAAATAGATCTGCGAGCATAGTTTACATGCAACAATACACCATACTGTTACTTTTACTATAACTGTTATAGTGTGTGAGAGCAAAAGTCCCTAAAAGAGAAGATTATGACAAAAGTTTAAAAGTAATTTCTTCCCTTCCTAATACTGTATATTGCAGTGCAATTGCGGTGATTGGCCACTGAGTGGAGCCGCACTGTTTCTGTCACCACAATTAGGTTTAGAGTGAGTGGGGTTTGGAACATCTTTTACTTTGTGGTTATATGATACTGTAACACTGACCTAGTTCCTGTGCAGGACTACGTTTTTTAAATTGTGGCAGCTATTTGGGAAAAAGGCTCAATCGAGTTCTTTCCACCACAAAATCACGTCAGGAAAAGACAAATGTGTGTGTTTTTAACAACAGACAGTACCAATGTTTGTGTCATCACAATTTGTTTCTTTAACACATTTAAGTAACTATCGGTGTGATGTTTCATTTATTTGGTTTAAAATCTGAAACACAAAATACAGTCTGTAGTGGAAAAGGAAAATAAATATCAGTACTTAGTTGTTACCTTAAACAGGAGCGACCAAGATAACAAAGTAATTTATCTTCTTTTAATAGAAATTAACACCTTGCCATAGAAATAAAGGTTCAGGCTTACCTATTGCACTCAACTTCATCATCCTTAACTTTTGTCAGTAGGTGGAGGGTGGGGATAGGAGGGTCATAACCCATCCACACCCAGCCTAGTCCACCTCTCTGCCAGATCAGATTTTCTTTTAGAAGCTTGTTCATTTTTGACTTTGTTTGTTTCCCACTGGCTGTCTGAACACTGACCTCATTGCCTAGAAACACATTAAAATATTGACTTCATCTTTTGTACACACAAACTCCTCCTCATCTGTTTAGAAGAGTCCTGCACGTCCAGGACTGAATATGACATACAATGCTGAATAAAAGAAAAAAACTCAATCAGGCAGTTCCTCTGAGCTGAATCACCTCAAGTGCTCTCAAGAGAGCTGGTAACAGACATAAAATGGTCCAAATAGCTCTGATTCACAGAGGCTGGAGATTTCAGAGGGTCAGTGTGTTTCTCTGTGTTTATTTAAATTATGTGTATAGCTTTCAAGATAACAGACCTGGCTCCAGAAGTATTTTAGAAAACACAGCCTAAAGTAGCAGATGAGTGTGGTTTACTGCATAGAGCCTTTTTAGTAGTGTTAGTTAAGTTATCTAGGATTCAACCGATATGAGATTGCAAATGCAAATAAATCTGAAAGACAGACATAAAATACAATTAATCTGTTTTTACTGCAGATTTGTGTTCTTTTGAAATAGAAATGCCTGTGAAAAACACAGAATGATAAAACTTAGAGGTAACAAATATCCTTCAGCCTAATTTCTCTGGCACTCTCCTTCAGAAGCACATCCCATCCATCTGGTATTTCAAACGGAATCATTTGGAAGCACTTACGTGAAAATAGGACACTGCATGGAGTAGCATTGCCAGATCAGTGCAAGGGAAGTCACGGTTTTGTCTGTTTATCTGTGCATATTTATCTAAAATAAAGCTTAATTATATTTTATAATGAAGTGACTCAATAAGATTGTTGGGAGTCCTCCAACCTCATCAGCAAATGGGTTGGCGATGTGGCAATCACAAAGACAATGAAATCATTCCCCAACCACAAAGGCTGGATGAATTGAGAGGTGAGGGCAGGGAAGGTGGCATCAACGAGGCAAAGCGGAGACAACAGCAGAGACTGGAGATCCTAACACCAACAACACCAAAGATATGTGTCTGGCAATCAAAAACATCTTAGGACACAAAAGCAGGAGCATGATGTGTGAGGCCATGTTGCCAATGAGCGCAACACATTTTATGCTCACTTTGAACTTCTAAACAAAGAGTCTAATCCACCTCCAGAGGACCGGCCACTGTCAGAATCCACCTGCGGTTCCCACCTGTTTCAAGACAGCTACTATCATTCCTGTGCCTAAAAAGTTTGTTTGTGTCTAGTCTGAGTAGCACTCACTACCATTCTGATGAAGTGCTTTAAGAAACTGGTTCTCAGGCACACACAGAACATCCAGTTTGCTTTCAAAACCAACTGATCCCCAGGATGTGGATGTTATCTCCACTGCCCTCCACTCAGTCCTCACACACCTTGAGAAAAAAACAACACCTACATCAGATTGCTCTTTGTTAATTTCAGCTCAGCACTAAACATAATCTCCCCCATGAAATGATTAGGGTTTAAATACAACCCTCTACAAGTGGATATTGGACTTCCTCACAATCATTTCCCAGACAGTTAAGATTGGTGGTCAAACTTCTTCCACTATAGTGCTCAACACAGAAGCCCACCAGGGCTGTGTGCTCAGCCCCTCCTGTTCACACTGTACACCCACGACTGCATCCCCCCGACGTGGAGAAAACTGTTGTGAAGTTTGCAGATGACCATCACCATCTTTGGGCGGATTTCAAACAACGATGAGGCTTCATATCGGGAGGAAATTATCAATCTTGCAGACTGGTGTACAGAGAACAACCAACTGCCCAACATCAGCAAAACTAAGGAGCTGATTGTTGATTTTTGGAAAAGACACACACCCCTGTCTAAGAGCTCAGAAGACCATTGGTACCCAACTACCGAGCATCGGTGATATCAGTGAGGTGAGGTGCCTGCGCAGAGCCCAAAGGATACTAAAAGACAATTCCAACCCCAGCCACAGCCTGTTCACCCTGCTGCTGCCTGTTAAGAGATAGTATCCACTATTGTACCACCAAACTTCAAAGCAGCTTTTTCCCCCAGGCTGTAAGACTCCTTAATTCATCCTCAGCACTCCACCATGTTAAACAACGTGTTCTATAACATGTTATTTATCCACCCAAAAACTGTATAACTTTTAATATTTGTTTTCTGAGTAGCATAAAAGGAACTCTCGTGATACAACCCTGTGTTGTAAAATGACAAATAAATCTACCTTGTACAAATGGTCAAATCCTTGAAGTAAGTGTCTCTGCCTGATCCGAGTTGGATGTTGACCAAAAACCAACATTTCCCCCATGATGGTGACACTGTGATATCGTAGAATGGATGGGTGCAGATGCTAAGAAGTTGTTGGAGCCTGGACTCCAGTCTGACCTTACCTTTCTTTTTGGAAGTACTGGGCAGCAAGCGCTTGTCCTCGTGCTTCCCCGCCACCCGACTGTGCTTCATCCGGCAGAAGAAGGATCTCCGGGCTCCAGTGGACAAGTGGGAGGGCCTGACGGGGGAGTCCGCCTGGACCTGAGCCCCAGCTGCACACAGAAAGACCGCATTTGTGGTGATGATATAGAGCCAGTTGTTGGTTTGTGTGTTTTTATTTCCAGCGATCTCCAGTGTTGATCAGTTGTCTTCAACACTTGGTTACGGTGTCAATTTCAGTTGTTTCTCAAACCTGACTTGGCAATAACAGACTTACTTGCAGCATCAATGAGGCGCTGGCGAGGGTACAACTCCGTAGATGCCAGCTGTTCCTTCACCTTGTTGATGTCTTTGGGGTGGATGAAATCAAACAGGTTTTGCCCAGTCAACTCCAACTGTGAACCCAAATTAAATACAGTACATCCATTTATTCAGGTTTTTACCATCTATGTTTTATTTAATTGTCTTTGTTCTTGTTGTACTATAAGACTCAAAAACATACTATTGTGCATTTCCAACTAATTTGACATCAAGACAACTCACTGTTCTTCAGCTCTTCATATAGTAAATGTAACTGGTCTGTAGACCTGAGATCTTTGAAAAGAACCAAAAGGAGAATTGCTGCAGCATGTATCAGTCAGGGTTTACTGGTAAGTTCCCATATAACACATGCTGCCCTGCAGACATGGAGTCAAATTTCTTTGGAAGCTTTTCTCTTGCATCCCTCCTAATCTCCGTTTCAAATGCCTACAGTCCGTCTCAAAGCTGGAAAATGTGGTCAAGAATGTAGAGCAGGTGTGGTTATCGGTCTGGCTGCCAAACACCATAAACTGACTTTCAAAAAATGTAATAAAACGCACATTGCTAGCCCTGCAGAAAATTACAAAACAAGATTTGACCTTGAATGTTAAGTTTTACTTAGCGTATTATCAGGCCTACATCAGAGCTTCAATAAAATGTTTTACGTGTTTTTGTTTTCTCATAAAAGTTTGCAGATCCACACATAGTCTGTGTCCCCAGTGACAATTTATTTTAAGAGTTGGAAAGATTCAGTTGCTCAACCACAAAAGAATAATGTGGAAAAAACTGATTCCAAACCATTTTAGTTTTTAGTTTAGTATGTTTCACATTTTGAGGAAATATACATTAAATCACACACCTACAAAAAACTTTTAATTATTTCCATATTATAATTTTTCTGTTGTGGTCTTTGATGAAAACAAGAGACATTGAGTCTCTTTGACTTGAGGACAAAGATACAGTTGATAGCTAGAGTCTGTGAATTCTTAATTAGTAGTAGCAAGATTTTGTTATTGTTAGCATTCCGGCTGGAATGCTTCATGATTCTGTTGAGAGTTTACACAGTGATACTATAGCAGTACATATTAAATGGCTGATTAACATTACATGCACACACACAAATTATAATGTGATAATAAAGAAACTTTTAAATGGAAACATTTGATTTGAAAGGTGATGAGGAAAAACATGTAATATATCAAGGGAAAATAGATTAAATGTGTGCAAATACCAAATTAATTATTTTATCTCTTTATGGCTCCATACTTTATAAAATTTTTGGTTAATTTCATAACGTTCAAAAGAGAGACAAAAATGTGAAACATTTCAGTTCAATGTGCAACTCTGCTTTTTACAGGGTTTTTTTTTTGATTGCTTTGGTACCACAAGTATTTGGTAAAATTTCTCAACTCTTAGTACAAAGCAGATCATCAAAAAGGCTATATTTTCAATTGACTACAACACACAAAATTACACAGTAACTTTTTCACCACACCTAATCACAGTGTCATCAAAGATATACATTTCATATGAAGTAACTGTCTTTCACAATGCAATGCTCACAATACTTGATATGCTTCTCTTCTGATTTGCATAAATACATTTGACCAACACTTAATCCAACTGATCTTAATGGTTAATCACTGAACCGTTTGGTAAACCTATATATTTTAAATTGGTTTGTCAGCTAAATAAAATGTGTGGTTGCATGAACATCTAAATTACATTTACCCTTATCTAACACATGAATACTCATTATTGACTTCATCTTGTAACCACAACTGGTCACCCATTTAAAGGCAGTGTGTAAACACTGGCAATTTCTTTCAGTATGGAGCACAATAGACAGTAAGGAAGAGGAAGAGCTGGTGGACAAGGGATCCATCAGAGAGGTGGGCACAAGCCCCAACATAGAGGTCAGACAGGTGGCCAAAGGCCCTGTTGAATGGGTGGTCATCAGAGAGAGGGAGGCAGAACTGTAGTTTCTAATGAAGTCCAGGCTATCATCGTTGATCATGTGGTGAACCATGCATGTAAATTCATCTTCAAATTCAAATTCATTCAACATGTTACAGTATTCTTACAGTATGATCTAGCGACTGTATATTCCTTTCTATGATAAAAATTGACAGAAAACCCCACAGTTGTGGCCGTGGCCGTGTGCTGTCCGACCAGCAGGAGTTGTGGTGGAAATGGTGAAGGCACGGAATGATATACGGCTGTCAGAAATATAGAAGCCAATTGAGGAGAACATTGACACCTTTACCAGTGTTGCATCCATAAGCATACCAACAGTAGCCCTCCTTATGAAGACAAATATACCTAATGCCTTTTGAGAGAAACAATAACCGAGTGAAACAGCGGAGAGCTGAATATGTTCAGGTACAGCACTATATACTGTATTACTGTTACTATTTGATGCATCACCTACTAAAACTACGCTGTAAAAAGAACTAACCGAAATATATTTTTTAGAGGGTGATGGTGCTTGATGCTGATGTGAACCATCACAAGTACATTTTTGTTGATGAAGCTGGCTTTACAGTAATTTGTTTTATTTATATACTGTACATTGATTTGATTGAGTATACCTATGTTATAATATATCTGGCGGAAAAAAATACATTTGACAAATGATTGTAGAAGATGTCACAACTTGATCTTGACATGACCTACAAATAGGATAGATATGATGTAAATGATAAATTCTGTAAATGTTGGGTAACGAAAGTGTATTGATTAATGTGAAAGCTGTGTAATCTGTCTTTTACAATACTGTAGCATACTATTTTCTGCACATCTAAGGCGATTTGAAACATATATCTTGCATTGTTTATCATTGGATTCACTGATAGCTAAAACTACTAAACTGAAAAGATATCCTTATGTTGTCTTTGGTGATTAAACTATATGTTCTCATGACTTTTCATTAGAAACTTAGATTTTGAATCAATGGCTTGTGTGGTGAGAGATGTTTACAATCCCAATGAATGCACAATGGCAAGTTTTGAATGAAAGACTGGCGGTGTTACAAGTGTGATGAGTTTGGAGTTTTGTACTAAAAGTTGTGAAATTTTACCACATACTTGCGATAATTGTACCAAAACGATCAAAAAAAAACTGTAATATTCATAGCACATCAGCAAAATCAGTCTGTGATGTAAAAGTGCAACACACCCGGCTAAAATTAAGGATCTTGGCGACGGACTCGGAGATGAACAGGATTTTCGCCCGGTCACAACTTACAATTAACAGGAAACCATCTGCAGCCTGGTAGAGAGATAGATAGACATGTTAATAGATAGATAGACATGTTGATAGACAGACAGACAGACAGACATGTTAATAGACAGACAGACAGATAGATAGACAGATAGAGTTGGGGTCAAATGCAAGCACCTACCCTGAGCAGAAGGTTCCTGAGGTCATCATGAGGCAGGATGGAAGGCTTGTAGGTGGTGTCTGTAAAGGCGCTGCCCGTCCCAGCTGAAAACGCACAGGAGACACAAGCTTTTAGATTGAACAGAATGGACATTACTGACATTTTAAATTACCAGGCGGGTTAAGAGTTACCTTTGAGGGCCTTAAGGTGTTGTACAGCCTTCCGCAGGACAGTGAGTTTGTCAAGTTTTCGAGCCATAGGCTGACAGGCAGGGATCATGGCAGACAGCTCGTCAATGAGGTTGTTCATTTTATCCCTGCGCCGCTTCTCAATCTGGCTGTGAGGCTCCCTGTAGGCCGGTGAGAAATCAGTCAAACAGTCAATACCACAGAACTTTCTACTTCTTTCTATCTTTAAGGGAAAACCTAGAGTTCATGATCCAATTTTTCAATTATTAATCAATAAGGGCTTGAGTGTCAGTTGACACTTAATATGGTTTTAAAATACCTTTATATAGGCTTTTCAAGACACAGGTGGCACACAAATTTGATATAAAAATAGAATTACCTGAAGCATTTCATTTTGACTTGCTGATCCTCTCCTTCAGATCTGCAAATACAGGGATCAAAAATCAAATTCTTTACCAGTACTCTCAAATAAGACAGTGTGTGAACAAAGCCAAGAAGGGTACCTGCTGAGGTCATCAACCATTTGGAAGTCGAGGCTTTGCCTATAAGATCGAATGGACATATTGTGGGCCATTTAATAAATAAGAAGAAGAATATATGTATTGTTTAGTAACTATATTACTCTAGAGAACAAAGTGTAAAATGATACTATGTTTGTTTTTCTTCACGAAACATAGCACTCCTTGCACTTACTGTCCATGGGTATCTGACCTCTCCTCCACATCTCCCTTTCGTTTCCTCGGCAGCTCGACAGCTGGCAGCGAGGAGCCTGTGTGGCTTGGGCCTTCTTCCTCTGCAGCAGGATCTGCTACATGAAAACAACCATCACAGTGATCAGACAGAGAATAAATACATCAACCTTGAGAAATATAAATGGCGCTGGCTTGTCAGGTGCTCTATTAATAAATCTCCAAGAATGAATGAATAAGTCTTGCTCTGGCGCTATGGTTTGTTGGGTCTGTTGCACATATTGAGCAGAGAATAACAATAATTCATTATGAAGCTGATGACTGGTTCTTATTAAGTACATGTGCAAATGAAAATGTGAAAAACAGATGACTTCAATTTTAGTCAGAATGCTAATGTGAGAAATAAAATAAATGCATCTTCAGGCTATGTAAGATATATTAGGCTTATTGGTGGCAATATAAAAAGACTACACCGGCACCTGTGTTGAAAAAACTGACAAACATTTCATTATCATCTTCATCAATGCAAATGACGCACAGTGGTGGTCATTTCTTGATTAATCCAGCATGCACAATTGTGGCATCTAGAAAAAATAGATGTGTTATTACAATTAAATAAATTGTTGCACACTGATTGTTTGAAATATTCATTAATATTTATAACTTAATATAGTTCTATTCCACCGAATTTGTTTGATATTTTTATTAATATTCATAAGTAATCACAGAATTGTTGCAGCCTATTAGACTTATGTATTAATACATATTTATAAGTCATCACAGAAGTATTTTCAATGCTACTTTATTTAATAGAAAGAAAATTGTGAACAGTAAAAAATAATTTAAAAGAAACAGCTGTGTAGGACTGTTTCATAGAGTGCCTAAAACATAAAGAAAGCCAAGGTCTATGGAAGCAAATGAATGTCATAATAATTCATTAATATTATTAAAAACCACTCAATTGATAGCATTGAGATGTATTACCTTGAAAACCATCTGTTTAAATTTGTGTGGACTATACTCTGTGGCCTTAATGAAGTTTTAATTTATAATCTTGAATTTTGATGTCTCAATTTCACTAATTCAGATTTAAAAAACCCTGATTTCTTTATCCAAAAATGACCTGTTGAAATTGAAAACATGAATGTAGTTTTTTGAATATTTGACACATGGATGTTCTAAATTTGTGACCACCCATAAAATGAACTTAAAATTAGACTATGTTTTATAAACTGCAAAACTTGAGATGGTCTTCTGGAAATTTGAAAGATGGAAAAATCAAACAAAATTAATTAATTTATATATATGCTTTTCAAAGTAAAATATTTCAGTGTATTAAATTCAATTGTATTTAAAGTATTCAGTCATGGTTAAATTTCACAATTAGGTATTCTATTGGTATAAGATTAAAATTATTATAGCCTTCTATTTCTTTGATTTAGGCAGTATATGAAATGTTTTTACTATTAACAATTCTATTTTTTTTTAAAGTAGCATTGATCATAGTCCTACTACAAACTATTATGGCTTTTATTTGATTCCATAAAAGTCCTACAAAGCAGACACATGCCTACATCGGTATTATAATCATAAAGTAGCCCATGTTGTGTGTTTGTGTATTCTTATGTTTAGTTTTTAGGTCATACCTATGAAAATAAGGTCATTTTAGCACAGCCTTGTTACAACCTGAAAATAATCCATCAATTTTTTAAACAATTTTTGACCTCATAAATCTCAACTTTTTTGTGAGCAATAATCAGGATGATACATAAATGTGTTTACAGTTGTGGGTGGCAATTATTTTTAAAAGGGTAATATCTCACTCAGGAATGTTCTGTGGAAAAACAGCTCTCTCATGCACGCGCGCACACACACACACACACACACACTTAAAATGCCTTGGCTCAGTCCTGTTCTCTAGTTATCGGTTTCTGGGCAAATTCTCTGTGCACTGGCTGACAGTTGCCTTTGAATGGCGCCAAACCTCCAGCTATGCTCGGAGTTTGTCAGTTTAAAAGGCACGTGAGAGTAAATGAGGTTTGGGCTATCGTCTTACCTAACGCTTATATAATGCAGTAACAATGACCTACTTCCCTCTCAGGACTCCCATACTTTAAATTGTGACATCCATTTGGGGGAGGAAAATGTTGTTAAAGTGAAGAAAGATTTTCCAACGTGACTGTTGACTGTGACTGACCCATATACGCCTGCTTTTCGGACTAAATTAGGAAAAGTAAATAAATTATGGTAGAGTTTTCATAATTAACCCATATTATTTAAGCTTAAAATATATAATTCTATTGTTTATCGTCAACTTTTGCACAGTGACACATGAATGATGCTTTATGTAAAAAAAAAAAAACACCTTAAAATAAATCTGTGGGAAGTGCATCTGAGAGGTCCACAGGTACCAAACCTCACAAATAAGCATAACTTTTACAGTTCATTCAGCAGTGGAGTGGACTTTAATGATATCGACATCCTTTTTTTTAATCCCTCCAGAGGAGTTTAGTGGGTCATCACTGACGCAAAAATGGAATGTGGGAGCGAACGCTTGCAAGCTCTCCCTTCCACCCACCACAGCTCTCCACAGCTGATGCTGCACAACACGCCGCCTCCAACGTCACACAGTTTTTCCTGTTTCCTTATTAGTCAAGAAGTTTTTTCCCTAGGTAGCTGTGTGAGCCCTGCCAGCTGACTGGCTAAAATGTGCCATCTAGGAAGCTACAGTGCCTGCTTTGTGCGGTGCTCAGAGCACGTAAAGACGGTCACATTCTGTGTCACACTCGAGCCAAATGCTCTGGTCGTGACAAGAGTGCTGACGAGAGGCCAAACCTGCAGGGCAGCAGATGACACGCCAAATTACTGAGACACAGAAACACAGACCACCACGCACAGTGGAAATGCACAGGAGTGTAACAAACTCGGTATGTGCAAAAAAAAAAAAATATCAGTTTGAGCAAGAGTCTAAGAGCATGCACAATATGACCTACATCTCTCTTTATACATTTGTACATTTTCTTAAAAATGGTACATTTCATCCCACTTGAATAACTTATATAAATTATATTTGGTCGGGGAAAGTAAATTATAGATAATCTAATTTTAATTACAAACATTATATATATATATATATATATATATATATATATATATATATATATATAAACTAGGAAAAGAACATCAGTTTACCAATACCATAATTAAATACAACACAAATCAATATACAGCTAATTCAGCAATAAAAAAAAGCCAAATACTAGTTCTACGAAAAGCAATAACATGCAACAAATGCCATACAGAGTCACATCTGCCCAACAAACATCACAGTCGAAAGCAAAGAAAGAAAATTGTGAAGCATCCGCCTATCTCTAACAGCCTGTGACACACGTTTAAATATTTGTGAGGGTATGAGAGTTACATCTGTATTACTTAATTCTGCAACCAAATACCAGCGTATCGTTTTCAGAATATTTAGTACAGGATATTTAGTATTTATTGGGATTTTTAGTGGTTTACATGTTTTATTGCTGATTTAAATACATGCATGCACATGCCTCTTTTAGGGTGTTTACTGTTCAGTGTTTTAGAGTTAAACAAACTGCTAGAATTTCTAGTTTTCAAAAACACTGGAGTTGTGGTGAATGACTTTAATCATGGCAACAACCCCTAAGCATTTCACATAATACCCTGGAGCATTTTGGCCTGTGTCTTTATTTGTTTTAATGTGCGTATCATACTTTCCTACCTGTCATTTTCTATGTTTAACAGCGTAGAAATGTAGCAGCTTCTAATCTGAAGCTTTCACATATCTATCTGAACAAACTAGGACAGCCATCTGAATCGGGTGAGGTGTATATTTCTTTTATTCAACCTGGTTGTGTGTCCAGCTAGTTTGCTAGCATTGCTAACTATTTGGATGCTTTTACTTTTTTTGGGGGGGGGGCTTTTACAAATTTAGATTCTGCCATTCAAGAGAGACGCTGAGCATAACATGTGTTTAATAACTCTGCACTGAACTTACTTTTAAACTGCTCAAGAGTCTGTCAAATACTGTATGTTCATCACATTGCATTTCAATTTTGAGCTCCTCTTTTATTGCCACTGGGTCAGTAAAATTTACCCTTGGCACATTTAAAATGACTACTGTCACAGTTTAAACTAAACAGATGTTTAAATGTTAACTAATTCAAATAAAAACATCTATGCGAGTAAAATAAATGTTCCATTGCGGCTTATAAATGCTGCTGTCCTCCATGTGTCCCACACCCAGATCAGCAAAAGTGTACAGATTGTATATGGTTTCTACAACAGCATGCCATTCTTTAGAATTATACTTAAGATTGGACAAGTATCCAGACATACTAATTAGGACAAACATATAGACCTGCAGTTATAACTTCAAAATCTCATCAACTTGATCCTCAAATCCTTTCAAATTATAATTTAACATGTATCACCTCTGAGTCAAACAGCCAGCCCGGCTGCAATCAAAGGATGGATAGTCTGTATTCACATAACTATTTGCAAAACCTTCCAGCTCAAGCAAGGAAGAGCACTTCCTTTTGTTGGTATTCAATAAAGGCTGTTTCAAGGCCACAGTTTCCAGATTCATCAACAGCACATAGATTGCTACCCTTTGCAATTTTATTAATCCATTAGAGCTCAGACCATGGTGTGTTCAGACCACTAATGTGTACCTATACATGTAAACAGTGAGTTGCTTGCTCTGTAATCACTGCACTTTCATCTGTAACTCTTCCAAAATGCAATATCACATAACTTCTGTCTAGACTTTTCTTTAACTGTTCCCCATCTGGCCCCCCATTCTAGTTGCTATCTGTAGTAATAGTAGAAGTACTGTAGTAGTCTCGTGATTTTTTTCTGTGATAAAATAATGACTTTGTGTTCTAGAGATCCTAATATTTGTCAGTTTGTGTTTTTATTTTGTTATGATCCTTAAATATTTATGTTGTAAGGTCATGAATGTTGAGTTGAGAAAGTGGTGCTGGGAATAGTAGCAGATGTGGTAGGGAAACAGTAGGTTACAGTACTGCAGAAGCCGTATGAGTTAGTAAATGCAGCTGCAGTCATGGTGGAAGCAGTACCAGTAGGTGTAGTAGTAGCATCAACAGTAGTAGCAGCAGTGACTCATATTAGAAGTAGCAGTATTATAGCTGTCTTTTTGTTTTATTATTTATACAGGAACAGAGAAATATTACATATAGAAAAAGTTCTTTGAAGGACATTGTTGCCTTTTTAGCCTAACTGAGTCACATGTAGAATATAATCAAGTTAAATAATTAGGTGTCTTTCCACTTCAGCTCAGTATACTGTGATATTTTACAGTGTGATCTGAGCCACCTGAGCCATTTATATAGTATCTTTATACCAGAGCTCAGTGTCTCTGCTTGTGGTTTTGGATGGATGCAGAGAAGGCAGGCAAGCCTGAAATCCTACGGTTACAGTACAGTATGTTCTAAGTTAATTCTGGCTGACTGAGCGGCCACTCTTCACAAAAAAACACAATGCATATACTGTTACAAATAAAGCGCATGCAATTTTAACTGACTTTTTTTGGGCAGTGGGCTACATCTACTCTACAGTACACAGGAATAATATGATGAACAATGAACAATAATAACAGAGGTGACACCTCGTATGAACGGAAAATATACAGGTAGTTAGCCAGGCATTTTTGGAACAAGATAACACAGAGCACATAGTAGGTATTTATTTCTTTTAAAAGAAAAATAGCATATAAACCACCAACAGCATTTTGGTTAGATAGACCAGCTATAAGACATATTACACAGTTATGCAACAATAATTTAACACTCTGAACTGGAAATTTTTTTTTTTTACTTTCATGCTAAGGGACATATGGCCTAATTGGATTTTGATACTAAAAGGCTACTTAAATTCAAATGTGTACATTTTTATATAAAAGCTACTGTTTTCCATTATAATTTCTGCTAACCCACTGAAATACTGTACACTTTAATTACTTCATCACACTTTTACGTTAAAGGCTTGTAAAGCTTAGTTCCATATTAGTCAGATTAATAGAACACACTTCATAGAGAGTTTACATTAAAATAGCAAATAAATTATTCCTTTGATGTTTTTTGTGTGGAATAATGAATTTATGGGGACCTTCATGCATTTATAGCCTAGCCTGCTATATTTTAATGGGCTATTTGGTGAATTTATTAGTGGCTAATATTAATTTAATATTTCAAGATGGTTTTCTAGTGTGTCCCTGGAATGGAGGAACACCTCATAATGATTTTCAGTTGTATTAAACAATAGCAATAGAAATTTAAAACACTTATGGCACTGTGGAAATAAATGATACTTTAGAGTTTAATCGAATTTTGATTTTGAGCTGGCTCTGGCTCCAGAAGGTGTCCATAGCTGACATTACTGTGGTGCTTCTCGGTGTGGTTCAGGAGCGGCAGGGAGCGACTGCCTCCCTCTGCTGCACAGTGAAGGCAGCGCTGCTCTACTGATCTACTGACCCAGTTTTGAAAGGAGCGGAACGAGAAAGAATCCCCGATCAAACCTCGCGGAACCACGTGACAAGCTAAGCTCCCCGAGGGCAGTTTGGTGAAGGTTAGGCGAATAAATACATATACGCGGCCTAGGGAAAGGTGGAGGCCGTGTCATACGAACAATATGGCTAAGGGTTAGCGTAATAAAAATATATTTTTGTTAGGGAAACGTCGTCGCCATGGCCACAGTCACGTGGTTCCGCGAGGTTTCCCCGAAACTAAACAAAGCTCCCCTCCGCGCGCGTCCCGCCGGAGACGAGCACGTAGTGCGGGATGATTGTGAATGGACAAGCTTCAACCGGCGACTCCGTTCACTGCCTGCCAATCGGTATTTTAGGTACAATAGGTTAGTAGGCAGGTACGTGGGTGCTGCTCCGGTCACCGGTGCTGCAGATAGTAACGCTTTACATTAGCCAAGGCTGCTTGTTCCGTTCGGTTAGGCTGGTCGCTACTGACACAAGCATTAAATGGAAGCGTTAGCTTGTTACTGTCACATCTGAATGCCACCATAAAGTAGAATTAAACCTAGTAAACCGTACTTTTTACAACCTGGCTCGCTGCCTACGGTAAAACTACAGCCTAATCAGTCGCATGAAGGGACTAAAGAAGTTCAGAAGTACTTTCTGGAAGTATTACCTCTGCTTTGTCTTTTCTTTTTTCAGCCAAGGGGTGGAAAGAAGCAACACAGTGTTGGTCTCGTCGGTCATTGATAATAAAAAGTAACGTTACCGAGCGAAATTCCACACTGTCAACACAGTAGGCTAACTACTGTCGTCCACAAGCAGCCTGTCCCTGAGCACCTACCTGCTGGCCTGTCCGCCGTCCCATCAGAGCCACCGGCCGACATGCCTACAGACTCGAGCCGGTGTGCCCGGTGAAGGCTACGGAGCGCCGCGGCGCATGTGGAGCCACCAGCTGTAGTAGTAACGCAAAGGAGAGGAGGGAGCTGCGGAGCTGGGGCGTTGTATAATTGACTTCTTTTTTTCCCTCACCCTCCTCCTCCCGTAGGCATTTTTTTTACAAAGGAGGCGGGTTGGGGGGGGTAGAAACGTGAGGGATAGGTGAGAGCGGAACACACACGTCCTTTAGGAAACACGGAAAACTCTTGTCTCCTTTTGGTTCATTCATGCCCTTGTTTCCTTGTCGGCGTTTTACTAGGACGGCTGCTGCCCATTCATTTCAGCTCGTCTCACTCATGAATCAGCGTCCCTTTCATCGGAAAATAAAGCCAAAACGCCTGTAACATTTAACTTGATGCTTGATGACATTTACGGAGCTGTAGGCTAAAAATTATCAACTAAGAAAATTTTATTTTGTTTTGTTTTGTGCGTTTTCATTTGATTTCATAAAAAATGGGCTATAAACACGAGTGTCTCGCATTTTGGTTGCAGTGGACAAAATGTTCTACCAATCTGCATTTCCCGTCGCAGAGCCTGTAAATCATGATGCTGCCCACGATGTTAATTGTCTAAAAGTGGACGGTGTAGGAAACGTATGTTATGACAACGCTGATATAAATTATTTTAGATTCACATCAGACAGCACCAGCCCAGCCGTGACGGGACAGCGAGATATTGATTCGTCGGGTGCTACGCTAGTTTTGGTGACCTGAAAAAGTGCCATGCGCGCGTCACCGATCAGACTTTGCTGCTCCCCCAAAACAGCGCCGATAAGGAAGAGGCATCACTCTGTTCTTATTTCTTGCTTCATGATCAGCATAATCACACTCATGGGTAAACTGAGGCATACAAAGAATCATATGGGAATAAACATATTTTGTAATTTTCTGCATTCATTTATTTGAACTGATTGGTTTACATTAGAAAGTGTAGTAGCCTAAAACTGGATTCAAGATTCAAAGTGTTTATTCTCACATGTTCAAGTTTCCCTGTACACTCAAATTCTTAATTTGCTGTCCACATCAAATGCCTACAATAAAAATAAAATATATGTATAGATAAAAATACAATAAAAACCACAATAAATAGAGGTATAAAGATATATAATGGAGGGGGACTTTTAAGTTCCTGCACTACCAAATCAGTTGGTCAGTTTTACCTGCAGACGTATATCTATGTTTTGTGCTTAACCAAAGACATAACATTGTTTCTAGTTCACTTAAGGTGTTTGTCTCTGTGGGCTACATGGACTTCCTTAATGATGCCAAGTTATCTAAAATACCATATTCAGCTCTGATATGGGGAGCATCAGGGGTGGCCACATAAATATACATTAGACATAGGCTAGTGACATAGTATAGGCTACATTTGACATAATGTCAGAGTCACAATGTTGGGCAAACATTTAACTTCCAAACTGTTTAACAAAGGCCCCTGGTTCTGTGACAAAACGTTTAATAGTTGGTGGCAATTTCATGGTTTTCATTGTCATGTATTTCTCAAACATAACAATCACATTATAAAAAGTACATAGTTTATAAATGTTCTAATGGTGTCCTCATTTACCCAAGTTAAAAAAAAAACAACTCAAAGTGATACATCACTTCGGACGCTGACGATCTTCGGCCCTCACCTACATAGTGTAATTCGAGACCTTTGCACGAGACTTTACGTAAGAGGGAAGACTGCACGTGCCAGCAAGAAACGTGTTGACCTATATATTATATAACTCGACGATCACGTGGCGACGGTTGGCTCGTAACCCATTTCAAGCCAAGTCTGCGGCGAAAGTACTGTGTCCCCGTGCACTTTACCAACCCGGAAACATCGTAAGTGGACAGGAAACACAACAAAACATACACTGTAATAAACTTTTAGTGGGGTAGCATCATAGATATTTATATATATATATATAATAGCAGTAACGATATGATATGGACTGAAAAACTACCATTAAAACATAAAGCTATTACAGATAAGTTGCCTACAATAGAATTTTGTCCCCTAGCCTTTTCTAGGTCTGAGTTCTTTGAATGACCTGCACACAAGAAGGTTTGTTTTATTTTAGATTAAAATCTATTTATATAGCTATCACTTTATGTCTGTTGTGTTATACTTCTGTGGAGTGTATATACAAATATACTATGGTGTAACGTTAGTTTCTGTAGGATACTTTCTTGCCTTCACAGCTTTATTTTCAAGTAGCCTGTAAAACAATATGAATATACACTTTAGGTTGCTGTTGTTGTCAGCGGGTCTGTTTGGTTAAAAGGGGACAGTGCTCCATATACTCTATGTGCGACTAATTTGTGGCTTTGTATCTTGCCTGGTCGCCCTGTTAGGGACCTTTCTGTCAGTGTGCTCAGCCCCACGGCTCTCCTCCGGGTAAAGGTTAAGGTTACTCATTTCATGACAGAAGAATGCCACTCTGGCTCCCTGCAGGACGTGTTCCTTTGTGGTAGCCTACAGGGGATTAGCCTGCATCCCGAGGAAAACAATTTAATGTAACAGAAGAATTTAGGTCAGTTTGACACCACCTGTAAACCACGCGGACATACGGACTCTAAAGGTCTACTAGGTTCCATATACTGCAAATTAAAGATATAACCTTACCCTCTCACTCCACTAGAGACCTGTTAAAATATATGTAGGCTTGATGCAAAACAACTTGGCTTCATTTCATCTTCAAGTGAAAACAGCAAGTTCATGTGTTTATTCTACCCCAGGCTGACGGTGGAGCTAAAAAAAAAAAATCCATATTAAGTTCCAGAAAATTAATTTAGGTTAAATCTGTCTCTGTACTGTAAATGTCCAGAATGACGCATGGAATGGGAAATATAGGCTACTGAAAGAACAGTAAAACAAAATAAATCAAGTAGCTACTTAATGAATACACATCTGTTAAGTATGCATTGTCCTGCTCTTGGTGTAATGGGGTCATGTCATGGCACTGTCACCTCTGCTGCTGTTGTCAGCTTTCTTCTGTAACCTGATTTCTTAATGTAAACCAGAAACCCGGTTTCCTTAATCGGAGGCGAATGATTAAAAGAAACCCGGTTAACCCAACTAGATTTTTGCTGAGCGGGGGGCAAAAACTCGATTACTTGGTCATTGACACATGTACCTGTGTTTGTAGCCTACCTGTGATGTAGGCTACACGTGAAGACGTGCACGACCTCTGCCGGGAGGGAGCGTCGCTGTGACGGCAGCGCGGCGCGTAGAGTGGAAACATTTTTACACGCGGGTGAGTCCCACAGCCGGACATCAAACCACAGGCTACATTCACACACAGTAGCGCAATTTGTAGCGTCATATCATTAATAATTCAGTAGCCTAAATAGATTGGTTAAAAACAGGTAAATAGGCCTACAGGTGGGGTGGGGTTGATTATTGACCAACTGTAGCCCATGTAAACGCCAGTTCCAGTGTAGCTTGTTAGTGCAGATTAGATTAAACTTGCCTCAAACGTACATTTTTAATATCCTGGACACACTGTCCCTGCAGTGCCTCTAAAAGCATTTACACAACAAATGAGACCAACCAGCACCTTTAGGAGTTTCATTTGCATTACACATCACTTATATGTGAAAAAAACACATCTAGAAACACATAATTTTTGCACCTCCCATAGTTAAAAAAGTATAATTTAATTATATTGACTGTTATGACTCTAAAAGCTGTGTCCAAGAAGATTTCCCGAGTTTTAGGAATTTAGAGGAACAGCATTTTGGATCTTGGATTTTAGATAGGATCGACCAACCTTGGAGATAAAAGGTTTTCACATGACAACATTTGTGTAGCTACAAGCCAGATTCCATTCATAAGCTCCTGATCAGCTGAGAATGCACTTGTGTATATCAAGAGCTCCCTCTAGTGGCCTCGGTGAACCACAGCAACAAGCTGTAGGTTTAGTTATGACACTCATGTTAGTGTTAAGTTCAAAACTGTGTACCTTGTTTTTATTCATTTGATCAATTAAAGCTCTCTTTAAAACAGTAACTCAGGGTCTGCAATGGTAATTTCCATAACAGTGCAATTTATACAGTAGCCTATTATTTGCAATGACTTAAAGTAAGAATGACTTTTGAAAATGTTCATTTTATTTACTGAATATGTTGTTTTACTGTAATAATGAAGTGAAGAGTCTGACTTAACACTACAGTCAATCTTTTCCAATTCCTTTTTTTTTTTTTTTTTTTTTAAATGCAGCAAGCTACAGTAATACTGGAAAACTGAATGACTCTTCTGGTTCTCTAAACCACCACAGAAGACACTGTGAAAGAGAACCACCCAACAATATTTACAACACCGAAACTTCAGACTTGTTATGTTTAATTTGATTATTTTAAGCATTTTATCAACAAAAAAAACTCATCAATGTGAATGAATATCAATATAGCCTTTCCCCCTTCACCCCACAGACAGTTTCCTTCAAGTGTCTACAACAATATGTATGCAGCATTACACAAAATATCTCACAACATAGACCTGGCATATGGTGGGGGACTTTAAAGTGAATTCTTGCTTTAAATTTATTTTTTTGGGGGGGGGGGGGGGGGGGGGGGGGGTTACATATTATTAGCAACGTCACAGTTCTTAAAGGTGTGAATGGGCCTTTCACCGGTTTCCTTTATGTTTGTGTGAACTGATTTTCTAGAAGGATAAATACACCTTTCCCTGCTCTCCAAGTTAGGGAAGTGACCTCTTTCAGTTATGAAATATTCCGTGACACTGATCTAACTAACAGCACACAGGGTGAGTTGATAAGCTGGTTTGGTCCATCAAAAATGAATTGTCTGGCGTAACTCATGATAAAAGTGAAACAGTCCCTGAACTCTTCTTAACCTCGTGGAGAAATGAAGTCAAAATTATTTATCTCCCTTTCGGTAAAGTGGCACAGTAATGGATTTCAAGTCATCTTGTACATAGAACTGTATGGATTCTAAATACAGTGTTTACCCTCATTGTTCATCTCCTGGGCGTCTACTTTTGTAGAAAAAGTAGAGTGATACTAAATATCTCTATTACAACACAGAACATGTTTGACATTGAACAAAGGAACACATCACCTCACAACAAAAAGCACAGACTATCTACTTCATGAAAATGTCACCGTTGTCCCTAGCAGTTGCTCACTCGCAAACTCGTCTCTCACGAACAATCTTAAGTGTTTGGCTGTGAAACAGGACACTCTGAATAATCCAGCAGTTTGGCTTTTTCCCAGGTTGTGCCAGTGTGTTCCAGTGATTAGACACAAAAGGTAATCTGCAGCAGTAGCCAACAAACAAAATCCCCCATCATGCATCTGTCCTGCTTCTGTGCTCCAGCAGCAGTCCTGCAGCCTGGTCTTAGCTTTGATGACATTTGGATTTTAGGTCAGAATTTGGATTTTTATAATGGGGAAAATACTGGCCAATCAGGGCTGCCTATCTGATGTGATGCATTTTGTTTGGCTATATGTTTCTGTCAGTAATTAAAGGGGCACTCCACTGATCAAGATAAGTTTACTTGTCATGGGGAGCACTACTCAGTTCAGTGATGTCTCCTGTGGCTCTGGGGGTGTTCTCTAAAGTCTGAAACAAATGACCCTGATGATGTCATAGCAATGTCGTTATGATTATCTCGACTTAAGTTTAGAAAGTACTGTCCCAAATAGCCGCCTACCCCCATTTACTGGCCTGGGGTGGGAACACATTTTGACAGATAAAGCCAAGCCTTGATCAAATGCCTTGTCCGTTTTTTTATAGAAGTTCTTTGGATGTATAAAACCTCTTAAACCCCACGGGGTTGCCCGCTTTAGCTGCTTCTAAGTTGCTTGAATCATTAATACAAATATTAATGTTTAAACGTATGGTCAATATGTCAGGACATGCTACACATCTTAAATCGGTTAGATTTTGTTGCTGCCTTCAAAATAAAAGCGCAGATCAAATGAATGAATGTGTGTTTGATATTATTTGATCATTTTTATACAAGATATATTCTGTTTGAAATAAATAAACCTAATAAGCCTATTTCAGTTTTGTGCAAAAGGAATTAAAAGCCTGTTCCCTGTCACAAATAAAGTCAGGGTCAATTCGTCAATTCAGTGATTTGGCAAAAAAAGCCCCAGTTATTGATCAAAGTTTTACAGTACAAATTTTTATCACAAACAGTGATGCAAACAGGGCGAGATTGAAAGACAGAGGTATTTACTGGATAGTGTGGATCTAATGAAAGCGACTATCAAGTTGCATTATGAAAAGTGTAGGATTCACTGTTTTTTTGGAACGTTAGCCATAACAGGGACTAAAAGTGAAGACATTTCAGCCTCTGCTGCGTTCATTTTGACCATTTTCAAATGCGTCTCTTGTGAGTCCCCAAGCTTTTACAGAAGTGCAATACTAAATCGCTGGAGTGCCCCTTTAAATTCTAGGAAAACCAACTGACATGACAATCAACCAATTCAAATACACTGAATAGTACTTCAGAATGAAAAACATGGAAAATAATAATACAGAAATATACACATCGGTCAACACTAATTTGTGCATTGCTTGTGTTGTTTGCAAACAACTTTTCCCCCCCAGTCTTTCTGGAGCGTTCTTGGCCAGTTTCAACAGGACCACCTGGATGAATTTTAGTTAAACAGATAAAATATAAGAACGACAGGTGTACTATAAAACAACGCTCTAATTGATCAAATCGCAAGACCACTTTCTTTCTTTATCACTCCCTCAGAAATAGCACCACAGACAGTTTAAAATGGTAGTCGTGGGATGGTTACAGCTGAACTTAGTCAACATTTTAGGTCCTCAGAATATGTCCTGTTCCTGGATTTACATTTATAGATTTTCTTGCACTTTGACACTTAACATCTTACCCTTAACATCGATCTCTGCACACTCATTTTCTGCCTAGTCTAGAAATAGAAATTTCAAATTATTCCATAGCCAAGTTGAACTCTCTTAGAAAGGTGGGGGTTTTTTTTAAAGGTAGTTTTCAGTTAAGTGCAGTAAGCGACAGCTACATGTACGACGTGTGATGATCAGAGTTCTTTGGTAACTATTTTTAGCGCTGTGTCTAGTCACAACTCTGAGTGGATGTAATGGTTAAATGGTGCATTTTGTTGAGAAAGACAGGCCTGGCATTAGATTTTTAATGGTTTTTTTTTGGAGACATTGACATTTAAGAACAAAAAACATACGTGTCTAAGATATCCACCATGTAACATCTATTCTATTTCTCATATTTATTTTAGTGTTACTTGACACTCTGTTCATTGCGTTTGCCTTGACGCATTATGTTTTTATGAGCCCCTTGTTTTATTATCTAACCGATAAATAGCTTTCTACATCGCCTTTGTTTCCTCACCTTTATCACTCTGCACACATTCTAAATGACACGTCAGAGCTTTCCATTTGCTTTAAAAGATACAATTGTTGCTTTCTTGACTTGACTTAAGCTAATGTTTCCCTTTCAGTCTTACCTGTTGCGACTTTTCTCCTTCACACAGCTTCATTATTTCTAAAAGTAATTATTTCCTTCTGATCAACCATTGCTAAAATATGTGGTTAAATATTTATCAGCTATTTAAAGGCACTTTGCATGTTCTATCCATCTAAGAAGGAAGCCCTCGGGCTCATCAGAATTAAAATCAGGGAAAATTACTATCGCGCTGATCTGAACAAAGCAACTAAAAGGGAAGTGACACACGTGGCAGTTTGTTGGCATTTGTGATTGGGCAACTCCCCACAATAACGGATGTCAAGCACAGGGTGAACTGCATTCACATCTTCCCCAGCTACAAGTTGTTCCTCTGGGAGAAAGGCAATAGCAACTGCTAGCAGAGGTCGCACGTCTCGCCACGGTCGGGGTTCAAGGAGGATTCCAGCATGATTTGAATTTTTGCTCATTTGTTTTATATTTTCTTTCCCTTTAATGCTACTTCTTATGGAAACACCTAGACACATTCAATTCAGTCTCCTCCATCACTGAACTGTGAAAAGAGTAATTATACAAGTTTTATAATTTTACTGAATTTCCCTGTATTACTACACTTCTTACAGAATCTGACAAGACTTATGGCAACAATTCCAGCGGCTCTGTGAGGCTGTACTTACACACAGTAGTGATGTCAGCTTACTAACATCCACACACAATGTTACCATGTTGATGTTAACCAGGTGCTTCACCATCTTAATTAAGCGTGTTAGCATGCCAGCATTTGCTAATTAGCGCTAAACTCAAAGCAGAGCTGAGGCTGATGGGAATGTCATTAGCTTTAGAGGTATTTGGTCATAAACCAAAGTGTTGGACAAACTGAAATCTGACCTGATGATGGCACTAGACGAAGAAAAAAAAAAATCAAAGTTATTACAATTCATCATTTGTGTACTGTCCCAAATGTCATGGCAATCCTCCAGTAGTTGTTGAGATTGAGACCAAAGTGGTGGACATGTTTAAAAATGTGTTGACAAGCTTAGAAATAAAATGAAAGATTTTTTAAGCTTTTAAATGGGTGCTGTCTTTGACAGTGGGAGTAATTCCTAAATACAAAGCAGAGAGTGAGCCAAAACCCTTGAAATCATGCTGGAACTTTCCTTTAAAACAGTATGGGTGAGAACAGGTGAGGGGCACCTGTCCTAACTCACTAATCTACAGTGTATAGAGCTTGTCTTCAGTATTAGAAATTCTGTTTGCATCAGAGCTAATTCAGCCACCAGTGTAGAAACTATCGCTGTGAAGATGTCGGAAGCAGTGATTTGTATTCCATCCTCATTCACTTTTAGGTGGTAAAAAAAAATCCTTTCCAGAAGCAGTATGCCGCTGAACATGCAGATATGCTGATTTAGTGTCCTAGTTATTGAGCTGGTCTGAGAGCTATGGCTAAAGACGGCACATGTATACGATATAAACAACCGAGGTAATGCGGTAACACTCCTTAATATTCCGAGCTCTTGCCGTTCTTGCGCCGGCTGAGCAAACCTAAATAACTTGTGGTAAGGGTTACATTTATACTGAGATGCTGACAGCGCAGCCTTCAGCACCAGCGGGGCTCCACGACCCGACCCTGTGTCCGTAAAACGTCTTTTTTTTTTTCTCCACAACAACGTTTCAGGCCTTCCCTGCCTTCATGTATGTGGGGATGGTGCCTCGCTGAGTCAGACCCTCAAAGCGTTTGTATGTGTAGTTGAGGAACACCCAGTCCTTCGACTTGAAGTCTGGCTCCGTTGCACTGGCTGTTAATAAACACACAACAAAAAGGAGGTGTTATTTTAATTGCCACTAGAGGGCGGTACAGACCACACAATGAAAATGAGAAGCTTTAAAGCCATGATAATATTAAGACAGTAAGTTCCCTTTTGTCTGAATCCAACCAGACTAATGTTCCTAAAAAGGGATTTTATTCTACAGTGGGCGACTTAGAAAACTTTAATGTCCTCAGAGAGGCAATTTGGGGTACGGCACAAAAACATAACACAACACAAGAAAAGAAACATCGATAAACAGAAGGAACAATAACCTAAGATCTTCTAGCCATCATGATAAAATGATAAAGGAATGTGTCTTCCTAGAAAGTGCCTGTCAATAAGACAAACCTGGCTGAAGGATGTCTGATTCAGGGAAGTCGTCAAAGTTTGAGGTGTCGTCGATACTCTTGATTTCAATGGAGATGGCTGCTGGCCGCTCCCTGAGGAGGAATGAAGAACACAGAAAAAATAAGTATGGCATCTTCAACATGGGCGTCTTTCCATTAAAGCTAAAGAATGGCATATTCCTGAAAGTGCTTTGTGCATAAGAATACCTTTCATGCCAGAACAGCCCTTTTCAGACAACATCTATGTCTTAAAGTAATGTCTCTTTATCATTCAGACAAGACGCATCTGTGACATAAATGTTTAAATGTAAACATATCTTACCGTTGACATTAATCTGACGGCACTTGGGTCGCTTTGACGTGTTTATGGAAATGTTACAGATCTGACTTTGTCATCGTGACTTTTATGTAAAAGTGAGAGAAACCGTCGACCCTTTGCTAAGATACACCCTGAAAATGCAGCTGGCCAATCACAGTGCAGTATAGGCCTCGCTCTAACTGCGGTCCGACACTTTCATGGCTGCGCTTCATTGACTCGTATGCAAAATACATCGTTTTCTAGCCTTTTTTTTAGCCGTATTTTTCCAAGATATGATCAAACGCTGTTCCTGGGGCCCTTGTAATAATTACAGTCACTACCCAGAGAGGTTGAAAGAAGTATGATTTATTCACTTTCCAAAACCTAAAACAAATCTAGAAAATTGTAGGCTGTGGATTGTTCCTAATGTATTGTTAGTTAGCTAACGCTCATTAAAAAGCAAAAAGAGACCCGCAGAGCTGTACAGGAACACTGTTGATCCTCAATATCGCTGTCCTCTTTCTCAATAGTGAGGTAATGTGGTGGCTCACTTTTACACTGTGATCGTTAGGCTTTAGCTTCTGTCTTTATTTTTTTCATGTCACTTTGACAGCCTGAACAAAACCTTCAAAAGCACAATGCTACTGCAAAACTGTCTGCTTCTTTCTGAGATCGCTTTTTCCAAAAATTAGACAATATTTCTCTGGTGAGTGCAGTGATAGACAGTGGCAGCACTGTGATAAAAGTCTGACAGGTCCGCCAGTTTGTCGGACTTAGCAACGGTAACGAAGGAGGGCGTGGCTTAGCGAAGGGTATGAAATGTGCTGCATGTCTGAAACGGGCTTGGTTTTCATGTACCTGATGTGCTCCCAGTCCACCGACTCAAAAAACTGATGACTCTTGATCTCCTCCACACTCACAGCTCCAATCCTGTTCTCAGCATCAGTGCAATACCTGAAAACACACAAACAGCAGGCCACTTATTTAACTGTCCAATAAACCTTTGTATACACATTATTTGGACAATTATTCTCTTTCCACTCCCACGTTTGGCGTGCGTCCTTCATGAGAGTTTGTAAAAGAGAAAACTGAAATAAAAAGGCATCTTAACACACCTTAATATTAAGTCTTTGGCCCTCTCAGAGATGGGAACTTCAGGTGGGAAGACGAGGGTTTCCTTCCAATTCATCACCTTTCTGTATGTCTCCTGCGGCGTCTCGGAGCAGAAGGGTGGATAACCTGAACACAGGCAATGACTTGTGATAGCAGCAGTTTCATTCATATTTCAATCTGCCATGCAACATAGATTTAATCAAAACAATATCAGGTGCCTACTTGTTCTATTCTTGTGTACTGTGTCTCCATTTTCTTACATGCAGACAAATGCATGCTTACCGATGAGCATTTCATACATGATGACGCCCAGAGACCACCAATCGCACAGCTTGTTGTATCCCGTCTGCATGAAGACCTCTGGAGCGATGTAGTCTGGCGTTCCAACAGTAGAATAAGCCTGAGAGTCACACAGAGAGATTTAAGGTGAAGGCTCCAGGTAGGAATATATTAACAAATAATCAATTCAATTAGTAAATGTAAACTAGAATCCCATCTCTTTATTACTTATACTTTTTATTTTCTATCATTATTATTTACTGCTGATTATTCTTATTATATAATTATATGTTTTATTTTATTTGTTAACATTTTACTATAATATATTATATTTCAGATTTTTTTTGTTGCTTGTATTATCTATTATTATGCATTTTTGGTTGTTTTGATGTGAATAGTCTCTAAAATCCATATATTAAATCCTATGCATCACATGTAAAGGACTTTAAATTGCATCTGCTTTGTCTGAAAGGTGCCATGTAAAATACATTTTGATTGACTGAGTAAAACATGTTCCATTCATGCTGATAATTGACATAAAGTTCCAAGAGCCAGGATGTAGCGACTGCTGTGTCAATTTTTGCAGAAGCCAGGAAGTTACTTTGTGATTTTTCTTTTCTTCTTCTGCATGCCGCAGAATGGATTATTCTCCGTTTCTTACTAATGGGCTTTTATAAACTTACAAGCTGTCTCCGGTTCTTCTTCCAGGTTTCCGCTTTCCTCTTGGAGTTCATATTTTGAAAGGCTACGAGATGTAGGAAAGCAAAGAGGAAAAGCGAGTGATTACTTAATAGTTACAGTATATGTTGCTGACCAAAGAAGCGTTTCTGAAAATTTCTGTTGGTGGAAGTTACCACTTATATATATGCGCCTTAATTTAAATCTGTAAAGTTTGGATCCTTTTCTCTTAAATATTAGATTTTGAACTCACAGAAGTCACTTGGCGGGTTGTGCGTCAGGTTCCTATAAAATTCTGTGCGATGAGCCTTCTTCAGACCCGTACACAAGCCAAAATCTGACAGTTTCACATGTCCCTGTGAGCAAATACACATTTGATAGTTATATGCAGAAAGCCACCAATGCACACCACACACACACACTCTTTCTTTACTGGCAGGAAGCTTCAGGGTGTCTGTCCGTGAGTCTCACCCTGGAGTCCAGCAGCAGGTTGTCTGGTTTGATGTCTCTGTGGATGAAGCCCAGCTGGTGGATGGAGTCGATGGCCAGAACTGTCTCTGCGATGTAGAACTGTGTGGCCTCTTCAGACAGAGTGTCTTTCTTCATCAGCAGGGTCATCATGTCGCCTGGCAGCAAGAGCAGACGTCAGAACTTTTTAAAATGTTAATACACCACATTTTTGTACAAAAACATCTCTGTACAACACTGATTTCTGTCACAGCGTAGTGATCCATCCTGTATCCAGTTCTATAGGTCAGCTGTTTTAAACATTCATGAAAAAAACAAAACACTGGAAGTTTTAAAAAGCTATCCACATGGAAGAGTGAACATACTAACAACAGACGACCTCAAACACTAGGGTCAAACAAAGGTGGTGCTTAGTCTAGGACTTTTATCAGTCTTAAGTTATTAGTGCAAACCTCCAGGCAGGAACTCCATGATGAGGTAGAGGTTCCTCTTGTCCTGGAAGCTGTAGAACATCTTGACCACCCAGCGCCGTCCGCCTCCACCAGAATATCCCTCTCTGCCCGGATATGAGCAACCTGCAGGGAGACAGTAGACAACCTCACGTACAATACAAGAGCATGAATACAGCAGCAGCATCTTTAACAGTATGTCATAATATCCTTAAGACCTGTGGCGCTGACAGATATTTTACCTGTTCCTTCTCCAGCATGTCTGCTTTTCTTAAAATCTTCATGGCATAAATGTGCCCTGTGTCCTTTTTCTGCACCAAACGGACCTGAAAGAGACAACATCACAGTTCATTCAATTCATTCAAGAATGTCAATAAAAATGAAGACAGCCAATGTGTGGATGTACAGCACTGTTCACACAAACAACACACCAATGGTAAGGTACAAAAAATGGGTTGCAACATTTCAGTGAAAACATACAAGAACTTTTTCCACGTCTTTCTTTTAGGTTACCTCGCCAAAAGCACCTCGTCCAATAACTTTAAGGGACTCGAAGTCATCCAAGCCAAGTCGTGTCCTCTTCAGTCGCAAAAACTCAGTCTCCTTACGGGCATGCTGCGAGCGGCGCATTACTTTCTGCAAAACACAGACAGCCAGACAGACAGTGAGTCATCCAGGTTAAAATAAAACTAGAAGAGTGCACTCAGTAGAGTGCAGATCTCTGCCAGGCTTAGTGAATAAAAACCAATGTCTTTCTTGCTTTTTGATTGTCATTTCACATCACTTGGTCTCTACTGACCACTTATATTGTGCAGAGACGGCGTGTCATTTTACGTGCGGATGTCAAAGAGAAAACAAAAAGTCAGGTGACTTAGAAGACAAAGGGATGAGGTCAGGGTGGATGGATAGGTAACTAACGTCCTTACCTACAGGCCTCTTAAGAGGAAGGAGGAGTCAGCAGCCAATGGTGGTATAAACAGAACAGTCAATGAAATAGGTGTTTTTAAAATTGTAAAATTGTGAATCACTGCAACCATGAGAGGTCCTTGAGCATACGGCCATAAATGTGCACAAAACATGTTAGGCCGATGAGTCCAGTAGTATGCGAGATTAGTTGCGAGAAAACAAAAAGTACTGTACCTCCTCATCTGGCAAACCCTCTTCATCCATGGCCTTCTCCAGCTTCTTCTGCCTACGAATTAAGGAAAGAAAAACATAGTGAAAATATTGAGCTTAGAAAAAAAAAAAGGTCAGGAAACGTACAAGGACGGAACGTGTCTGATCTTGAAATTGGATCCCCTGACAGTTTATGCAGGGATGTCAGTGTCAACAGTGACTCGGCTGGGTTTTTTTTTTTTTTTTTTTTACAAGAGGCACTAAACCCTGTTACCTGGAATAAAGACCAGCTCTAATGTGGTAATGTGAGAAAACAAGAGGTGGATTATGAGATGCCCTTCGATGTGCTCACACCTGAGACGAAACACCCCTTTTTCCAGCAGCGGATGGAGTGAAACTTGATGCTTGATACGTCAACAGGTACTGTGGGCTATAAAACTGTTTGGGTAGTTTTACCTCATCTCACGCTCCTCATGCTGGGTGAGCAGAGTGCTGTAGAAGTTTTCCAGTGTCAGCTTGGCCACAGTCACCCTCTCTCGGGTGTGGTTGCTCATGGGAAGGGCAGCTGCAGTCCCTCCCGTCATGGCCATACTATCCTGTAAGATTATAGGAAAAGACAACTTCAGGTTGTGCACGTCTGTCACTGCTTCTACTGGTGCGGTACGGCTGTTTACCAACTAGTCGTGAGAGTAGTGATAAACATTGCAGTGCCGCTTTCTAATGTGATCGCTCATTCATCCTGTAATTGTCACTTTTGGTAACAGTGGCAAACGTTTCACAGACTTAAATGCGTGTGTGTGTGGGGGTCACGCAATGCCCTCCATGAAGGCTCTCCAACATACCAGGCCTAGTGTGCGTCAAGACCCAAAAACGCTGGATCCTACACTTCCCATGATGCCACTTGATCGTAGGACTGGACGATTAATTGAAAAATTAAAACTCAGAAATTCAGAGCCTCTAACTGACATAATTTTGCCATTTCAGTTATTCCATTTTATTAATCCTGTTAATATTTTCCCCACTGTGTGCATTCATGTACTTTCCTCTTAAAGACATACTACCTATGTGGTCATGTGACTCCACCCCATGAAAATCATTAGTTGCGCAATGATATTGTTGATCGTGTGAAACAGTTTTCCGCCTTTTGCTTGCTGTCAACATCAAGTTATCAATTAACATTTAGATAATCAATTTTTGACATTTGTGAATTGAAAACTATATCTCACCTTTAACAGTTGAGCATAGTTACAGTACAAACCTTGTCAGTGAACAACAAACAAAAATAAAATCCTTCATTAATGGTAATCAAGGTAAATGGTTAAATAATGGTGATTTTGATATTAGGTCATATTGTCCAGCCCTACTTGATTGCGTATTTAATTAGACCCTCCATTTCTGGCAAATAACCATGTCTGATCATCAGGGTTATTTTTGTCCTCCAGAAACACTGCAAACTATAAACAATTGTTGTTAGAGGCTGAGTCGTAGTCTGTATAACAGCCGGACCAATAAATCGTTGTGCCGCTGTTATCTATTATATGAGCTAATTGCAGATGAATCGATATCAGTGTTTATAGCAACCGATAAATCACAATTTAAAAAAGAGATGGAAGACGGATCCTTTGATCATGTTACAAGTGTTGTCGTTGCATAGTGTGTCCACCAGAGGGCACTCAACTGCAACTCCCCAGCAGGGCGCAAATCCACAGCAATTAGCTGACATAATCAGAAATACTTTTGCTTAAAGTACTATTTACAAAACTAAAAAAGATTAAAACTGCATAATGTGACTTATCTTGGTGAGGTCTCATAACTACACATAAAAAATGTTAGGGAAAATCTTCATTTATGTTATGTGTTTCTGAAAAGAAGGAGGAAAAAAAAAAGAATATTGTCTGATATATCAGAACATCATAGGTCTGTGTGATATGATGATATATATCATTTAACAATAGAAAAAACATCTTTCGTTTACAATTATGCTCTATCGTTTATTTCGTTGTGTCGCAACACACTTAACCATAATATTTCCGGGAGGTGATGCCGCTTTGCACCGCGGTGAAGTTAGTTTCAAGTTGGAGATCAAACTTAAAACTAACTTCATCGTGATAAGTTCCTCCACACTTGCCGGTGTTGCAGGGAAGAAATTTGAATTCAGAATAAATAAACATGGAGAAGAGTGAAGTTTACTCTGAACTGGGTAATAGTGGAGGAGTCAGACCATGCAAGCAACAAAGAAGAGCTCATACCTCAGAGGGCAGTCTGTTGTATGGACGAGCAACACAACACTATTCCAGCAGTTCCAGCCATGATTTGTGTGTTAGGTAACATTAAATGACTTGTCCACGGACATTCAGCTTACTTCTTTTTACTAAAGAATTACATCTTAATAAAAGGTTTTATGGAATGACACTTTCGCTATCGCTTTTCTTTTGAGAGTGGCTGTAGTTAAGCTTTTAATGTAAATCATTACCAGTAATGCAAAATGCCTTCTATCTAAAGAAATCAAAGGGCAACTTAGTAAATGACTCCCAGACAGCAGTGAGCAGCAGTGCTCCATTAGAAGAAGCAGGAGTCACCAACACTGACTGAGCTGCCTCAACCCCACATACACACTATGAAGACTTGTTGGGCAGAGTAATGCATATTTCTGGGTAATTAGTTTCTTTCAAGTGATATCCATTGCTAGTGCTATCCATGCTATACATTTCAGTGAGTGCAACTGTGGAACAGATCCCTTGGCTACAGACTCACAGGAGTCTGGAGTAACTCAAGTCATATCCCTGGTACAAAAATATTCTTGTGACCCTGGAACAGGGGCATGGAATCATGTGCTGGATGGCTCACGGTGCAGGGTTTCATTCCTTCCAGGAACTAATCCATGAAATCTGTACAGATCTTTCTCACTATGCATTCCTTTGCATTTTTACACAGCCTCCGACCATATCAAACTGACAAAGACGGATTCCAAACAAAGTGAAAACAAAGATGAAGGACAGAAAGAAAACATGGGAAATTACTTGACATGACTGATGGGCCTCCTCCATCATAAATTTACAACACATCATGTATGAACAGCACTTTAGTCGTTATTCATGCTCTCTTTAATGAAATGATTGTTCCGTCCCACGCAATTTGGGAACTATATTCTCTACAAGGACACATACTGACATGTTGGATTTGATGCGTAGCCCTAGTGTGGGTGGAATGAAAACCGCAGAGAGTAGAAGAAAAACACACATACAAGTGAGGTGGAAACCACAACCAGTGGTTGGCTGTCTGAATAAAACCGAAACTGCAAGGGAAAAAAAGTTAAACACTAAGATTAATAGAATATTAACATTTGGAGAAGTTGAAGATATTATGTAATACAGGAAAAGAGTGGATGTATACATCATCAAAACATTTCAGCAGTACACCATCAGAATATTATGAATGGCTTGATTAGCTCACAAAGAGATAAAACAGCCCTGCAGCACAGAGATAGGACCCATGTTTCGTCTAGTCACTGGTCCTTTTTCCGTCCCGGCCCCAAAAATCCCACAAACAACAAAACACTTCCTGACTTCTGAGAAAAATCACTGAATCCCTGCTGCAAAGTGCTCAGTTTAGTGTTGGTGGGAAACTGGGAAACTGACAAATAAGGGTGTTACTGAGGTCTGTACATATTTGCCTGAGCAACAACCCTCCCATGAAGATCAACTTAAAGGGAAAGACCGCAGATGATCCCCAATAAAAAGACAACCTTGTCCAAACACAAAGCAGCAAAAGCAGACTAATTACAAGATGTCTGCAAAGATTCTCAGTGAGATTGTGATCTAAGGCATCTCCAATATACTTTTTAAGTGAATCGTAGAGATCGCAGTATTTAATGTCCTTTACTTCTGTTTCCAAACTTCACATAGCCTTAGTGACTAGCGGAGTCCAATGTGGACCTGATCTATATGAAAAGTGCAATGAGATCCACTGATTGGCCAAAAAAGTTCTGTGATCTCTGGACAGTGCCCACTCCTGGCTCTATAGATAACAAATCACTTTTGCGCCACATTTCACTGAGATATGTGCCGCAAGTGAGAGTATTTCTACAGCTGTGTGAATTCACATACTGATCTGCACATTTTAGCACATTCGCATTATAGTATACCGCAGCAGAAATGCGAGCGTAGGAGTTTCTTCATTTGTTAGAATTTGTGCTCGTGCAATGGAGAATTTGAGACGCTGTAACTGCTGTATTTGTAGGAGAGAGAAAAGATTTCTGCTGCTGCCTCAATACAATGGAGGTGAAAGAAATTTTGTTTTATGTGCTCAAAGTACCTGAAAACTTAAGTTCCAACAAGTCAAAGGCAATATGTTCCTCAAGAAAACAATGTCCACTCACTAATAATCAACAGTCCTCGCAGACTTTTTTTAAACCACAAGTATTTTCCAATAAAAACTCCTGACAGCTGAAGTCTGCGGATTATCCTGAGTTTATGTGCATGAGTTGATACTACGTAGCACAGCAACCAACAACTGCATAAGAAGAGAGCAAGAATCCTGCTGTCACACTGTAATTCATTATCCGACCTGGCTGAGAGTTAGACTCTTAATGTGTTGGGAAACGATCTATTCATTAAGTTGAAAGGTGAAATCAAATAAAATCCTGAGTGTAACTTCTTTTTAACCCTAGATGTTGGATTTCTCAGTTTGGTGTAAAACGACTGAGTTTATGTGCGAGTATGGAAACACACACACACACACACACACACACTTAAACACAGACACACTCCACCCTTTAAGTACTGTAAGTGACTGGACAGGAAGCATTTTCCCTCCTGAAAGAAAGGGCACAGTCATGAAGCCAGAGAGTAAAGCAGCAAGCGCGCGCGCACACGCACACACACACACACACACACAAATAAATAAATGACTATATCAAAAGCATACCACGTTTTGTTGAAAAGGCAGTATAGTGTTCTAATAATGGGAATTTCATGGTGTGTATAAATGATTCAATAATATTCCTAACATTATGCTGTATCATCTAAAATATTCGTTATTCTTATTCATAGTTATACAGAGTTTGTTCCTCCTGTGGTGATATAGATACTTCAGAATATGCTTCAAAATTGGAAAGAAATGCAATTTCAAATATATGTGTTCTGTCACTGTATTTCAAATTAAATGTTATGTTTAATATGTAAAGTTATGGTCGTGCTTTTTAATCTAGTGTGCTGCTGAATGAATGTACTCTGCAGAGGTGTGTTACTGCATGCACACTTTAATGTCTTGTCTGGCTAATACTTCCCAACTCGCCTCAATTTAAACTTTTGGTGCTGCCCTGTGAAACCTGTACTATCTGCCACCCCGGGTCCGCTACTTCTGCCTGACACATGATGGCTGATACTAAGTTAGATAAAATTCTGTGTTGAGATACCAATAATTTTTAATATTATGAGGCTTCCTCATACCAATATTGGGTCTGTTTGTTGCCGTGTTGTGTTAAGTCAGCTAGCTATTTGTCTGCTCTGTTCTCTTTGCGTCTCTGTCTGTCTGGCAGCAGCATACAAATAAAGAGCATTCTGTGGGAAATATTTTTTCACCTACCTCCGTGTCCTGCTCCAGAGTCAATTATTGGCTCGTCGCCAGCTCACGACCCAGATGAAAAAAATATATGTGTTTTTTCCTGCCTAATATTTAGGCAGTCGAAGCCTTGAGGCTCCAGATATTGGCGACCGTTTAGAGGAACTTATCAGGCTGCACAGTAAACATCGCCGATATCAACGCCAAATCATAACAAAAGTCCTCTGACGTTGACAGCAATCTAATCTGAAATAATTTGAAAATATTTTAATGTCTTCATGTGATATCCCTGACCTCAGATGCATCGCTTCCCTCCTTCTTTATCGCTATAAAATACGAAATTAGCAGCGTTGCTTCCTGGGACCGTCGGGCTCATCAGAGGCTCCGGCCACGCTACGTCGTAACGTGAATGACGTTAGCAAGAACCAATCACCGATAAAGAAGAGGACGAGTTGTGTCCACTGGCCAATCATATATGGAACACATAGGAGAATGACGTGAGTATCAGCCAATGAGAAGATCTAAATCGCTCCGCAAGGGCTGCGTTCCAGGACGCAGGTTCATCTGGCTAGCAAGCATTTGCAGCTATATAAGAGTAACTGCAGTAGTTGGAATCTTTGTTACATAATTATGTCAGTTGTGCTGAAAATACTAATATTATTGTGATGCTTTTTGAGAATCAAATTACAAAAAACAACACTGTAAAATAATTCACTCCCTCACACATAAATAGCAAATGGCATATGATCTACAAGAGGGTATTTAAGGTCAATGAAATGTCACGTTGGGGTCAAAACAAATTGCGGGTTTCAATTTCAATAGATTACAAATAGACAAAACGTATGAACGATTTATATTAAAATACCACTACTATAAAAACATGAAAGCAAAACTGTAATCTACGGAATACCCATGGACTTTTTGAATGACTATAGGCCTGTAACAATGTAGGAGATAAGACACCATAAAGTGTGATAAGATAGAAGTGAAATCATGAAGTGCCACAGACAGAAGGACAGTATATTATATAGCTAGAACAGCTACATTATAGAAATATTAAAGAGATATTTCTATTAAGGAAATATCGGAGACCTTTGGTGTAACTGCCAAGATGACTGCAGCTTGTTTGGCCAAAATGATGTGAAACGCGGTCATTGTTTAAACACACTGCAGATTATGTTTTCCATTTCGACATTACAATCAAGAAATTCCAAAGGAAACTGACTTGTTTCCTCCCATCTTCTCAGCAAGAGAAGTATTCTCCGTATCTGGAATCTTTCATTTCATTGTTCACTTCTGTCTATATGCCAAAGGTCTGTAGGACAAAGAACAGGTGTATGCAGTAAACAGTTAACCTAATTATACCTGAAAAATGCAGATAACAAAATTTTAACACTATCAAACATTTGTTGAGCAAAACACAGAGAAAAGCAGTTCAGGCTGGTAGAGGTTTCTCTGCCATAAATCTCCATATTTGGACAGGTTGAGTGCTTTCACTGTTAGAGCCATGATGTCAACATAAACTGGGGTGGGTGTACCCTGTTAACACATCTGGGTGTGGTGTCCAGCAGACAAGGCTGTTTTTGTATTTCTCACATCAACGGGGCCCGCTGAGCTGTGACACAGCACCTAATTTTAGATTTGGGCTATAAACTCTCTGGCCTGCAGCCCAAGCTTCACAAAGTTCAGTCTGAAACGGACCACTGAGCCACATTTTATATGAAATCAACTACAGTTATGAAAAATTTTCTTCAACCTTTTACGCGATGGTTCCTATTCAGCCTGTTTATGAGATTGTAAGAAGAGGCAGAGAGGCTGTTTAATTGGATTAAAAATAAATCACATCAAATAAACATCATTGGTGAGGCATTATGATGTATTTTCATATTCTATAAATCATCTTGTGACCATCCAGGTCTTCTCAGGCTGCTTGAGCTTTGGACAGTAGTTACATACATACATCTTCCTATCTTTAGAAAAAAGGGTTATGAGGGCTTCTGATGTCATAAAACATTCATTTGGTTAGTTTGTGTAATTTAAGTGCCAGCTTTTCCCAAAAAGAAGAACAAAGTACACAACAAAAACCCATCCTAATACGTCTTCGGCCTTTCTTGCCACCTAGAATTTTCAGATTTCTCAGGCTGAATCTTGATTTCCCAATCTTTCAGTCATCAGCAGCTCTTGTTCCCCATTGTCATTTTTCCCAAAATGCTATTTTTATTTTGCTTATGAAATCCTCTCAGACATCATGACATATACCAGAACCAATGCTTAGTTCCTAGAAGTATTTGTGACATTTTGAGGAGGTGCTGACCAAGCAGCACCGGCATGTTACATTTCAGCACTGGGTTGCACCGAATATGTGTAAGCTCTCTGTGAAGTCGAATCACAGGTCACATGTGTGGTCATTCCCTGAAAAGTGTGTCATATTGAAAATGAGATATTTCCAATAGCGCATCATTCACCACATCATTTTGTAGTTATTTTGTGCCACATCATGATTTATCATCATTTGTATGACTCCTTTATGAAATACATGGAGCTAGTTAGGACCGATAAGGCACCGCAGCGGTTTGTTATTATGGATTGACAAAGACTAGAATATAAATTGGTTCCATGCACTTTGGATATGAATTCTTCAAATAAATACGATGAGGGAAAAGCAACACTTATGAGCACTAACTGCAACAATAAACCTCCTGTTCTGGAGATAAAAATCCTTCTACTTGTTTTCCTGATAGACATTTTATTAAAAAACAATTAGAAGAACGAATGAAAACAATTCTGTCAAACTAAGCTGCTATAAAGATACAAATAGATGGAACAAATTAAATCCCAAAAGACTTTGTTCAAGCTTTATTAAAAAAAAAGAAAAACAAGACTCGTCAGACATGGAGATAGAGTGAGTTGAGCCGATCTGTTAACTGATCCGAGGAGTGTTTTTGAGTGAAGACACTCCAAAACCAGAATTTTGAAATCACTGCATTCATAAATATCTACAAAAACAGACTTAACCAACATATATAACATATACATAAAACATAAAAAAACGGTTACCATTCACACATTCAGACTGGAGTCTTTTGGACCATAAAAAATGATTTTTCCAAACTTTCTATATGGCAGAAAGCTCCCCAAACCCAACAGTGTGCTCTCTCCCAGCTGGCATCTAGTCTTCTACACTCAGACACATTTTTCATTGTGTTTGCCTTCAGAACAGTGGCTGATGTGTGATGATGACATTGTAATGAAGCGATTAAGTGATGTTTCATTGGCTGTATAGAATCTCACATTTCTTTAACACATTCAGCATATTTTTGAGTGTTTTTGAGGCTTGCGGCTGATGTCTGAGGGTAAAAACAGGGTTAAAATGAGAGGGCTGAAAATGAGACGGAAAGGGGGGGGGGGGGGGATTGTCCAAAACTGCATTATGTACGTTGTGGGTCAGGATTCGGCTGGTGAAGGCTGGCTTGGTGCCCCGTTGCGGGTGCGGAGCTGAGACTGGGCGATGTCAGCCAGGGCGCTCTGGATCTTCTCCAGCAGCATATTGCCGCGGTAAACCACCTCCTCCAGACGGGCTGCTGCCTCGTGGTTCTCCTCCTCCAGCTGCCGCAGACTGGCCGCCTGGTGAGAGGTCACAGCAGGTCAGATTCATTCACAATGAAAGGCGGCAGTATTTTCTGTCTTTTTGTGAATCAAATGACTGATGTGTGGGTTTTTTTATGCAAATCAAGTTGTGATGCAAACAAGTCTTTAAAAATGAGCAACCTACAAGCAAACAAAATGCAAAGTACAGTCACCTCTCACACTAATCCAAAGAGGCACCAACTCAATTTTTATGACAAGGTTCGGTGATTGATGACCTTACATGATGCCCTGGTGACAACAGACATTATGAACAGAGCCAAACTCTATGTCAAATCTTTAATAATAATAATAATGATAATAATAATGAACCTTAGCACATGAAACCAAAACTAAAGCACCACATACCACTAGAATTATGTGACAAAAATAAGGTAACCTTTTCACTCTGCTACTCTGTTATACTGGTCAGTAGTTTGTGTGGTCAAGACAACACTGCCAGTTAGTTGTAACTGACTGATGACAGACTGATGGCTCAAGATGGAACCCCCCCCCCAAAGAAAAGATAAATGAAACCTATGTGAGGGAAGTGATACAGAGGTGTGCTCAGTCTCTTGGGATGTTCCCCTGCAGCTGATAACGTCACTGATTAAATATTGTTTTGACACAGTTAACTTGTGAAGAGTCTGTGGATCTTTCTCTTTCTTTCTCCTATTTCTTCTAATAGGAGGGTTTGCACTGCACAGTTGCTGTGTATTTCTCCATCTGTCTATAGTGCTTATGAGCTCCAGTAATGCGGAGGCACTGGCTCTGTTAAGTGACATTTTTAATTACTATAATTTAAGTTCTTATTCATTGTACTTTATACCTCTTTCAGTACTCCGTTCTTTTATATTTATGTTGGACAGAGCTTCAAACATCTTGTGCTTCCAGAATCCTCATTTTACTTTTAATTTCAAGAGGAGACCAGCAGCAACATTGTTGACCGTTCCGCTCTCTCTCGTGTAAAGATAAACAAGTGACAGAATTCTACACTCTTTGCGTCTCTGATACAGGCGGGATCTCTTCTTATAAAGGCAGTTATGAGAACATTAAGAGAAGGATTAGCTCAAAAATGCAATATTAAAAAGATGTTTGTGTTGGAAAGGGTCATTTGCAGCACAATATGATGCACTCCTCCATCAAACTTCCCATTCTTAACTTTTGAGTGATGTAAACTAGAACTGAACTTAAGAGGAAATAATCAGTGTCGTCTTTATATACTGATACTTAAAAGGACACCTTTTGGAACCTGTGGATTTTAGTTAATGAAAAACTGGTGTTAACTTTCAATCTAGTGACAAAAACAGAGCTCAAAATATACATGGGAAGTCATGCTCTACCCTTATGGTCATTCCAGATATACATCTGGTCGCTCACTCCTATCACTTGCATTATTTATTACCCAGTAACCCACAGGGATCGTTTAAGCGAATATAACCTTCTATTTTCAGGAAAGGAATCAACACAGAAACATCAGCAACCCTTCCTCTCCTTTTCCATTGTAGACAAAATAAGAAATTAACTTAAAGCAGCTCACATAAACTCACTCAACATGAAAACTTTAAACCTAATAAATAAAGAGAAATATTACTACTACTGGGTTTCAATAATAAAAATGTTTATCCAAGAGCATATTAGCAGTATCTAGGCCTCTTCTAATAATTATCCAGCAGAGGGGCCTGGAAACAGAGTACAGTCATGTGGTTGTTTGTTTTATACCCATGATCAGACATCATTTTCTTTATCTGAATTGTCAATGCTGAAAGCAGCTGTACAAGCGTTCAAATGGCTCCCTCTGCTGACTGAAACCAGGAATACCAACTGGCCTTCTGTTTGTGTTTGTCCCCCTTTTTAGGAGCAGAATCTGTAACTGAAACGCGCCTCTGAATGGTACTTGCGAATGTGCTGACCTGCAGAGCTGCCGTGGACTCCTCACTGGGCAGAGAGTCGATTAGTACATCCACATCTTTAGCTGTTCTGGCGATCAGGGCTGCAAATAGCTGGGCATATTCTAGATGGAGGTAAAAAGAAAAGAAAAAAGTTTTGAAGTTTTTAATGTTGAACGAAACAGATTTCTCTATCCTGTAAGTCATTAACAAACAGATAAGACAGATGATATTAAGAGACATAAATACATGTGGAAAGAAGACAGCAACAATGCTTAGTGGTTACAGAGTGAAGTGTGCAAAGGGAGGGATGTATCTATATTTTTTCGCAACACTAACTCCTCCAATATCTAAAGATACAGTATTGTAGCCGGATAAAAAACCGAGTTGCTGTTTTGTTTCACTTTATTACTCATTATTACAGTATTTGTATATGTGCAGTGATTCAGAGGGCTGAAACCAGGCTAAGAGTATTGACCAATACAAAGAACTGAAACTAATTGGGATCATTCTCATGTGTATAGGCACATAAAGCTGTAACTTCAGTTTTTGACTAACTAGTGGCACATTTACAGTTACAAACCTTGTTTTTTAGACTATGAAATGTTTAAATATTGTTAAAATTATACTGTTAAAAATTGCCTTGTTGCGAATGATAACTGTAACTGGGATTTTGTGTGTTATTATGGATTAGTCACATCCGGCAACATCCTATCAATTGAATAAGGTCAATATTGGATTGGTACATCAATAATTTGAGTGTTGAGAGGCAAGATATATTACAGGAGAAGATGGAGAAGTAAACAACAAAGAGGAGGGTTTTGAAATAAGAACAAATAAAGCACCTTCAGTTGGGTTCGCTGGCTGATCTTTGTTGATAGCCGTCTGGATGTTACTAAAGGAGGCAGGGGGCGCACACTGTTGCAGCACGCCGATGGCATTACAAAACTGATCAGCAAGCTGGACACAAAAAACAATAGCATTTCACTTTCAGTTAAGCAGGAAGTTACTTGTTGACACTGCCAGCCGGCGACCTGTTTGCTACTACGAGTCACTTTGATATTCCTCTGTTTAACACTGCAATACTGTAGCAAGCGTAGAACCTGAACTTATTCGTGATTCAGGCCCCTGGTCGTTAGCTACCACTGATAAAGCAATGTTTACAAACATACTCAAACATTTGGGCCACTGCTTCACAATGGCTACACCTTTAAATTATTTTGAAACAGTCAAAATATTGTTATTTTCCATCAGTTATCCTTTTAAAAACTCCAAAATGTGTCTTACCGAATTGACAGCGTCTTGGAGCTGTGTTAGTCTGTCCGCCATATTTTCTGTAATTTAACAAATCCCGCTGTCGCGAGAATGTCCTCATATCATAGAATCTCGCGTGATTGGACGGTACTTTGAAAGCGTCTAAACTAGCTGTAACCACTGAAATGATCTCACTGACTGCAAACAAGTTAAGTGTTTAAATCAGCGAGTTTATATCTACTGACATATCCTTGCGTTTTAAAAGGGAACAGAGCTTAATCAGAACCTCTACTTGCTGCTTCTTGTTGAGGACTAATTAACCTGCAGCTAATGTCAGCTACCAAACATCAACAGGAAGTAACGGACTAGCTAAATTCAGATGTCTTGCACTTCGGTTTCTTCAGGTAAGTTATTACAGTTTTTTTTTTATTATTATTTATTTCCCTACGTTAATGTGGAAGAACTATTTTGAATGCCACCCTGTCAGTTGGACCAAAAGGCTTATAGTAAGAGTGGATTTGCATGACAGCTTTAGTGTGGTTAGTAACTCAGCTAAGTTAATAAGTTAGCAAAGATTTCATGCTAACGTTACTGGCAATATCAGATTACTCCTAGCCTTTTAAAAGAAACAGAAAAAATAGTGCTTTTACGTGTACTACAGCTACGATACATATGGCGTACCAGCAGCTAAATATATCACTACAACAAAGTAACGTTAATATTAGCTTGAGTTGAGCGAATTAGCTACAGCAACTGTCATTCAAGGTGTGACCAGGAGAAGAGGGATGGGGTTGGCAACGACCCAAGTACACTGTGTTTTTGGTTAGTTGTGTCTTTTTACTTTGTTTTGGTCATGGTCCTGAGCAACTGATGTTAGTTTTATTTACTTTTGGGACACAATCTAGAGATGGACACATGGGGTGCTCAGTTTCTGTAGGTAGGTAGGTTTATTGTAACAATATAACAAGTTATAGAGTGAAATTATTGTAACTCCCTTCTGCTACATTGCAGACAATTGATAAAGAATCAATTATGAAAAATGGTAAACAGAAACTATCATCACTGGAGCAGTGCTGAGGATGAATTAGAGTTTAAGAGTCTGATAACTTGGGGGGGAAAAAGCTGCTCTGCAGTCTGGTGGTGTGGCAGCAGTTAGTGTCACTCTTTACATCATCTCGGAAAGCGGTGTGCAGAATAGCTTGATAAGGCATAATGTTGGATTATTTTAGATATTATTTATCACCTATAGGACATTAAATCGATTAGTCTGTGGGCTAACCAGGTATTTACTACATTGAAATACCTCCCATCTCTAAATGACAACACTTTCCAGTTATAAAGAAAGGTGCCCACTCTTCTCTATCAAAACTAGACTGCTGTTGTCATTAAACCGTCTTGTGATGACGGCTTGTATTTCCTCAGGCATGAACTGTACCTTAGAGAAGGTCCTGGCAGATGCCAAATCGTTAGTGGAAAGGCTTCGTAACCATGACAACGCTGCTGAGATGTTAATCGAACAGACAACATCGCTCAACAAGCGAGTGGAGGCCATGAAGCAGGTATGGTATCTCAAAGTTTTGGTGCAAATTAAATATGATATGTTATTTTTATATATGCTTTATTACAAAATGACCAAAAGCTATAACTGAGTAGAGTGAAACTTAAAATATGTTTTTATTTAAAAAGCCAGCAATAATGATTCTGGCTCAGCTCTGCTTTCCAGCTATGAGGTGTTCAACATTTTAGATCTTTCAGTTGTTTAAGGGGAGTTGGTTTGGTTATCTCTTGTTGGCAGTACCAGGAGGAGATTGACTCACTGAACCAGGTTGCACGACATCGTCCCCGTTCTAGTTTGGTCCTGGGAATCCAACAGGAAAACCGTCAGATCAGAGAACTCCAGCAGGAGAACAAAGGTAGACGGTTCATTTGTAATTGTTCTTTAATGTTTATCGTATGGTTGGATGGCTGTATTGTGGTTTTAAGGAAAACATGACAAAGGAAATAGGTATTTGTTTCATCATGCAATTTATTAAGCAGACTCCTGTTGGACACAACCATACCTAATAGTTTATTTTGGTAAAATAAGAGAATTGTGGTTGCAAATCGCAGCAATGCAACATGAAGCTGTGTTCACTTTTCCTGCAGAGCTACGGACGTCGTTGGAGGAACATCAGTCTGCGTTAGAGCTCATCATGACCAAATACAGGGAGCAGGTGTTCAGGCTCCTCATGGCCAGCAAGAGGGACGACCCAACCATCGTGACCCAGCTGAAGGAGCAGCACACCACGGTCAGGAGGCCCACTTGTTCCTTTAAATGCCTCATAATTTTGGGAGCACCAGTTATTACACGACTCTTTCTGTCCTCGAACTTTTCCCCTTGATTGTAAACTGGAAAGAAACTTATCAGCTGTCTTACTAAAGAGTAATGCAAAGGCATAAAATCACTTATTTATTATGTATTTATCAATTTCTACTGCCCTTTGTTCTTATTTGTTCTTCGCCTTTTTGCAGGAAATGCAAGCCCACATAGACAAGATCAATGAGATGGCCTCCGTGATGAGGAAGGCGATAGAGGTGGATGATGGGCGGACATGTGAAGACGAGGAGAGGATTAAACAGCTAGAGGTAAAAGCAAATGTGCTACCCTGTTCCACATGTACTTCTAACAATTCCAAATACACAAGACGCTATTTGTCCCCATACAATTCTGGTGCAGGGTACGGACTGTCTCAAATCAAAACATGAGAGGAAAATAGTAAGCAGTTGTAGAAGTTGTTTGTTTGTTTATTATGACACGCCACATTTGATAGACATCTGTTAGTTGTGGCTAGCTAACATGACACCTGGGCCCAATCTCCACCCTGAATCCTCAGAGTTGGTTGACGACATCACTTTTTCAATGCTTTAGTTCGAGAGGCTGCAAGGGCCTGAAATGGTATATTGGGACAGCACTTTGCTACATATCACGTAACCTTGACAACGGCACCCCCAAATGTGGGATTGGGACTTTTTATTTTTGTGTGTTTTACTTTCTTCACGGCCGAGGCACTGAAGGGGCTGACTGTCTGATTTGAACCTATTCCAGGCTCCTGTCTTACAGAGAGGTCGAGGTCATTTTCAAATAATCAGTTTACTTGTTTTTTCATCAAAACAGCAGCATACCCTTACATGTAAACTTATTTTTCTTGTAGTTTCACCTTCCATGTTTGCTTTTTTTAACGCTGCCGGGCTTCCCCTGGTAACCCCGTGTTTAACGTCACAACGCTATAAACTGTGGGTTATTCCCCCAGGCAAAGAGTGCAGAGATGTGGATTTACGGAAAGTGTGCATGAAGGGCTCAGGGTGTTTGTGGGAGAGCCCTCATGTACTTTACGATTCGACAGCGGGACAATCCTAAACCCTTGCGGACTTCCCGGCAACGCCCCGAAAAGTGTGTAAGTCTATGAGTGTGGAGATTGGGATTCAGCCATGATTTTGCAGTAAGAATGAGCAGCTATAGTAGCAGTAATAACGCTAGCCGAGAGTGCACAAACTAGTGAGAAAGTTGTGACTAAGACCTTAATATCACAGAAGCCCCCTCATTGTATATACAGTATATTAGTAACATTCGCATGTCTGAGTGCCTGATGTGTTACATTAGTGCAGAAGCATATCACTATACTATTTCCGTACAGGATTTAATTATTTATCAGTCACGCACGAAATCACAAAATTTTTACACATCTGTTTTGCGATTTGTTTTTCAAAAACATGATACATTTTCCATCCAACCGCATTAGTCGGCCTTCTCTCGCTGTCACCAAATCGCACAGTAAAACTCTAAATGCATGCCTGATAACCTTTGCAGTATTCATCAATTTGCCATAAACAGTGAGTTGTCTGTCTTTCTTTCTCACCAATTTCTATTCACCACCTTATTAAAATCCAGAACTCCGACCATATCACTAGATACCTCTAGCTTTTCTGCACTCTGAGCTGACAGGGAGGTTTCCTTCTTGGGATATTCAACATTTTCCATGTATTACTTTCACGATTTTGTGCAGTTTCAGGCACAAAAATAATCTCTCTTGTTTACCTCATAAGCGCTCGTTTTTTCTGGTTTGTTTTCTACCCCCTGCACGTCTCATACGGTGTTGTTTCTTGGAAACCCGTCTATACGAGTAACCATAATTTCAGATATGTGCAAGGCTGATGGTGCATATGGTGACGCGGTTGATTTGGAGCCACCAACATGCAAATATTCCTGATGCAGCATTAAATGAAAAGCCGGGTGGTAACACATTAGTAGTAATAGCAGACTTTCTGGCAGCGGTGGTATTATTTCATGTGAATGTATGGCTGTACACTTGTGTTTCTGTGTTTTAGATGGAGAACTGTGGACTCCGAGAGCTGCTGGGAATCAGTCGCGAAGCTTTCCTGATTCTGAAAAGAGAAGACACATCCGAGAGTACGTCACTGTCGCCATTACTGACCAGTGCTGACGTCAGCTTGCGAAAGAGTTAAGAGCTCACGGGGACTGACCAACCCCCTGCCCCTACCGCTGCCACTATTGTGTATAGTGTGTACAGTCTTTGCCACATACCACTTCACCTGTCACCCAACAGATTCCTCGATCCTCTCCTTCCTCTTTTCTCCTGGAGCATTTTCAGCGTTGGTTTTTTTGTTGGTACTTCTGTTATGTAATTCTGTAATTTTGCCAGCATATATGAGTCTGTGGTGTCTGCAAGGTTTTAATGTGTGAATGAGTAAAAGAAGAGCTTGAGTTGAAATAAATCTATAAACTGAGGTTGTCTCTGCTGGGTTGTTATGGACCGAATTTTACTTCAAATGTAGCATAGATTCCCATTTTTACTGTTTCTGTTTGGGTGACCTGTGCGGACCCACAACTTCGCTCTTTTGCTATTCATGTTATTGTACATCAGCAGTTTAAAAGCAGGAATAGAAACATTTTTACACATTTACACAACATTTTTAGAACACACAGGATATGCTGTAATATCCAACTACCCCTTCTGCTGCAGAGCTGCACCAAGCCAGAGATGTAGCGCTGGAAATCATTCCTCCCACAGTATGGTGCCTTTCAGTAACTGAAAAACACTTCTGTGAATGAAACAAACCAACTACAGCAGCATTTTTACTGCTTTAAAATAATTTTGTGAACATAATTAAACAGTGCTTGTTAGTATAAATTACTTTGATGTTATTGTGATGTAAGCCAGCAAGGCTGTGCAGTGACAATGCCTCACCTCCCAACACCTTAAGAGACGCACTGGTGACCGACGCTAGTGTCCATGGGTTTTAGCCTCCTCGTCCGCGTGTCTGCCTCCTGTACCCGAGGTCTCCAGTTCGAGTCAGGACCGTGCAGTACGTTCTCGGGATCAGCCGGTTGCATTATGATTGGTTATGGTCAGTGGTGGGAGAAGTATTCAGATCCTTTTACTTAAGTAAAAGTAGCGATATCACACTGAGACAATAGTACAAGTAAAAGTCCTGCATTCAAAACTTACTTATAAAATTATTATCAGCAAAATGCACTTATAGTATAAGTACTGATGATGTAAATGATCCCTGTCAGTGTTTGATTATTATGTTTTTGGATTAAAGATAGGTAGATACTTTTTTGTGCAATTTATCACATGAGATATTTGGCAAACAATCAAGGGAGGCAACAGGATTAATATTCCTGCTGCATTAATGTGTACGTATCATAATTATAATTATATAGTATTGGGTAGTTTAATCTACAGCAATGAATCATATTTTATAAGATCATCATATTTTTGTAGCATCACTATCCTGTGAGAAGCATTTATCTCAGAAAAGCAGTCCTGCTTCCAGCTGATCAAAGGTCGGTTTTAATAGTCTATTTAGATGAAGAAGTAGGATCATTTTCTCAACCCTTCGTTCTTCAGTTATCAAAAAAAAATCACCACATTTGGAGATACATGATTTTCACTGGACAGGAAAGGTATGAAAAATTGTAATCTAAAAATAACAAGTAATTAAAGCTGTCAGACAAATGCAGTGGAGTACAATATTTGCCTCTGAGATGTAGTGGAGTAGAAATATATAGTAGAACAAAATAGAAATTTGTACTTAAGTACAGTTACAGTAGATGAGTAAATGGTACTTCCACCACTGGTTATGGTCCAAAAGAAGATGTTAGTAAAGAGCACCCACTCTGCCACTATTACCAAGATCCACAAACAATTTAAAGCATTTGTCTGTGTTGGAGTTTGCCAAAGATGGCATGCCATTACAAAAGACGGGGGGGGGGGGGGGGGGGGGGAGCTATCGCGGGACCGATGGCGCGATTCTCGGAGCGGAAACATCTTTCAGTCGTCGGAGCGGCAGAGGCTGAAGGCTGTCCTCAATCTGAGTTTGTTCAAACATGTCACTTTTGCGTTTGCAGGGACCTTCACCACCCAAACACAGAAGACTGCGAGGTTATCAATGATTTTGCTGACCGGCAGATAGAAGCGGTTGGTTGTTAGATAAGCGAAGCAGAGGAAAATGTGTCGTCGGAGTTGCTGCCCGCTGCTGCTGCTGCTGCTGCTGCTGGTTCCCCTCGTTCAAGCTCAAGTGGAAAGTGAGTTACTTGCAATTTGATATGCATTTACTTTTCAACCTTAGCAACATTATCTAGCTTTCTTTAAAACGGATAAGAAGCGGGTTTCATATAAGCTATCTTAAGAAGGTTAAAGGTCGCGTGTGGTTCCTTGATACTAACTTACTGTTTGGAAATCACTGAAGTGTCACTCTGCCAAACCAGTAAGTGACGAACCATTGTCTGACGCTAGCTAGCAGTGAAGCGGTTTATTTTCGGAATTGAATCGATTAGTTTGTATGTGAGGCTTGTGAAGAGGGTTTATCTTTTACACATGTATGAACAGGGTGTATAATAACATTAGTGTAAGGAGATATTGTGTCACAGAGCAATGCGAACCACCAAATATTTATAATGTTCCTGCAATGATGTTCAGAGAATATCATAGTTTTAATTTCATGTTTAGCCAATTTACTACTAACGTCTGTTAAAAGTTCAGCCAACACTGCAAATGAGTTGAGAGCTTTGTATCCAAACAAATGGTGGGGAAGTGAAAAAAGATTGGGGTAGTGAAATCAAGTTCAGTGAGAGTATTCACCCCGAGAGCTAAATAAACACTTTGCCTTAGCTGAATAACATTTATAGCAAGTTGAGATGAAATAATAAGCAGACATGTGTAAATCAAAGATTTCTGCACCTAATTTTCGTTTTTTCTGGCCAGAAAAGCTTCTGACATAGCATTTAGCCCCTTACTAACTTTAAATAAGGCAGACAAAAATATTGACCAGTGAAAAGAATAAATAAATGTGCGAGGTAATTGGATCTGAATTGTTATTTCAGTGTCCACATCATGCCATAGGTGGACACAGAGTGGTGGATATCTCAAGTTTAATAAAAAGTCAGTCGTGTGTGTGTGTGTGTGTGTGTGTATGTGTATGTGTGTGTGTATATATATATATATATTAAACTTGGTATCTAAATTCTGGCTTGCCTCATGTATGCCCTCTCTGGGTCACATTTTTCACGCATTCTCATGTCACAAGGCAGCAGGTCCTTCCTGACTTGGAGTCTGACCTGCAAACAGTCGTTATGGATAAGGCAGTGTGTGCAACCTGCAAAACGTCTATGGAGCTTTAGTCTTACTACTTGACATTCTTCCTGTCTGTATGGGGGACAAACGTCATGTCTCGCACATCAACAGCAAACAGAAATGCAACAGGACTGTACATATGATCCAAGCTGTATAGTTGGATGGTTACAGGCAGTCGCAAGTGCAAAGATCGGTTCTTCTAGCTATTTTGAAGAGGTCATAAGTCATGCTGAACCAAGTGCTGTGCACATTACTAATAAAGACCACCAACATTAGAAGCAGCTCTAAGCAAACTCTTTCTCAAACTTTGAGGACCACCGAAATCAATCAGAGGGATCTGTAAAAGAGAAAAACAGTGAGACAGTCTCACAGTGATACGAGTTAAGAAATAGCATGCAGATAGGGCTGAGGACTATCAGTGAGGAAAATATCTTCCAGATTTCCATTAACGTTAAAGTCATTTTGAGACATTTGCTTAGATGAACCGTGATGTTTACTATTGACAGATGTTTTAGAACGACGCTTTCAGTTTCACAACTACTGCAACATCGCTTGCACCAGATTTTATTTACTTATGGGTCAAGCTCAGTCTGCTTGTCAGGTCTAACTAGGCCGTTGCTGTTGCGGCATAAACATTTAAAGTGTTCATGGTATTATAAGTGTCCACACATTCCACTCAGATAGTAAATGTTTTACTTCCATCCAGAGTTGATTCATTATTACAGTTTAATTAAAATAGAGAAGATGTAAGTGAATGATCAGAGGAAGATATGCTTTATTGGCCAGTCCAAAGGTTTTTACATTTACTCATTTGGCAGACGCTTTTATCCAAAGCGACTTACATTTGAGGAACAACATACAAGCATCAACAGAGCATCAACTACAGATCTACAACTGACAATACATACTAGTAAGAGCAGCAATAAATAATAGTAAGAGCTCGCAGTACATATCACATCAATGGGGTAGATACCTAGGAAAGGAAGTAAGAGTTAACAAAAAGTGCAATCAAAACAAAAAGTGCAATCAATACAAGATCTTTGTAGGGGATAGAAGAAGAAGAGCACAGGAAGTGCATGTTAGAGGTGTTATAAGAGGAAGTGTTCTCGGAAGAGATGAGTTTTCAAGAGCTTCTTGGAGTTAGAGAGGGACGCCCCTGCTCTGATGGCATGTGGTAGCTCGTTCCACCATCGTGGTGTCACAGATGAGAATAGCCGGGACTGGGATTGCTTTGTGTGAAGGGATGGCAGAGCCAGGCGGCGTTCGTTGGAGGAGCGTAGGATCTGAGAAGGAACGTAAGTTTGTATTGTGGAGTTTAGGTAGATGGGTGCAGACCCAGTAGTCACTCTGTATGCAAGCATTAGTGACTTGAATTTGATTCTGGAGGCCACGGGGAGCCAGTGGAGGTCACTGAGTAATGGAGTTACATAAGTCCTTTTGGGCTGATCAAAAACCAGACGCGCTGCTGTGTTCTGAACCATTTGTAAGGGTTTCACCGCACAAGCTGGGAGACCTGCTAGGAGGGCATTGCAATAGTTGAGGCGAGAGATAACCATGGCCTGTACCAGAAGCTGGGTGGCGTACTGAGTGAGGTAGGGCCTGATTTTCCTTATGTTGTATAGAGAAAAGCGGCATGACCGAGAGACAGTAGCAGCATGGTCTGAAAAGGACAGCTGGTCATCAATCATGACACCCAAGTTTCTCACCACCTTGGTTGGATGATGGTTGCGGAGTCAGTTTGTAGTTTGATGTTATGGTGGATAGATTGCTTGGCTGGAATGACCAAGAGTTCAGTCTTAGAGAGGTTTAGTTGAAGGTGGCAAGCCTTCATCCATGCAGATATGTCTGATAGACAGTCCGTGATCCGCGCCGAGACAGTGGGATCGCCTGGCGGGAAGGATAGGTAGAGTTGCGTGTCGTCTGCGTAGCAGTGGTGAGAGAAGCCATGCAAGCGAATGATCGGCCCCAGTGAGGTGGTGTAAATTGAGAAGAGAAGGGGCCCAAGCACTGAGTCTTGGGGTACCCCTTTGGAGAGGCAGTGGGAGGAGGATAATTGTCCTTGCCACAAAACATTGTAGGAACAACCCGAGAGGTAGGATTCGAACCACAGGAGTGCTTTACTCGAGATGCCCATTGCTGAGAGAGCGG